TAGAGTATTAAGATTACATTTTCAACTTTGATAAGTTATGAGGGTAAATAGAGCATTTTCAAATCATAGCTAAAAAATCTCTATGCAAATCTCTATTTTGTGACACTGCGTAATATCCACTGATCACATTAGCTCTAATCTGGAGCATTCTCAAACACAGAAGCCCTTCGGGTTCATTGGGCATCCTAGGCTATTTTGCATTTTTACTTCACTCTCAATTTGCTCATTATTTGCTTTGTCTAATGGTTGATTTCCTTCTTTCTTATCTGCAGGTTCTTCAGGGTTTGGATTACTTGCATACAAAATGTCGAATCATTCATACAGATATTAAACCTGAGAACATTCTTCTCTGTGTGAATGACCAGTATATTCGCAGGCTGGCTGCAGAAGCAACAGAGTGGCAGAGATCTGGGGCTCCCCCACCATCTGGCTCTGCAGGTGAATTTTTTTTTTTTTTTTCACCCCTCCCCTGAAAATTGGTGCTATTTCTCCCACATACCCCCAAATCATCACTAGTCTCACTAAGGAAAACTTCCTGAGAACAGTGGAACAATTATGCAGGCAGCCTCTGAAAACCCAACTGTAAACGGTGAAGTTAGTCATAAGTTGTAACTCAAAGATGACTGGGAAGGCAGTTTGTGTAAGAAAAATGGAGGGATGATAAATGCACTGTGGCACCTGCTTTTAATACAGCTAATCTGGCACTCATAAAGTGGTAGGATAGTCAGTCTTACGTAGCACAATCAGGATGCACTCAATATAGAACTGGGATGAAAATGTGGCAACATATTTCTCACATTTTCTTCAGAAGTTTATTATCTTCCATTGCATGAAGCTGTACCAGTGTGTACTTTTCAAGAACTACTGCAGTGTGTATTGGAAGGCTCTGTCAGTCATAATCTTACAAGACCAACATTGAGCTGAGCCCATCGTAGCATATCTTAGCTTAAGGAAGCTTCCTTAAGTTTAGTATTTTAATGCTTTGACTTGCATTTTCATTTAGGTAAGATGCATAATACATGCAGTAAATGAAGCTACGTGACAGGAAGTTTGTTTCTGATATCAGTCAAGCAAGTCTTCTATCTGGAATTTTAATTATGCATTCACACATTTAATACTTTTCTCATTTTTTTTATCGTTGCATTTTTGTAGAGAAATGAGCCCTTAAAATAACATTTGCTGATATCATTAAAATGTTATTACCAAACCACATAGGAAAAATCCTACCTTAAGATCAGGATTCGGTTATAGTTTTTGAATATAGACATACTAATTTATTGATCTTTCTTTTCCTTTCAGTGAGCACTGCACCACAGCCAAAACCAGTAAGTGTAATAGCTTTCATCTGTAAGTATCCATCTTCTGATAGCATCTACTGCATTGTTTCATAATCCAGTCAGTGTTAAGGGAAAGCAACCTCATATCAGAAGAAAAAGTGTGATTTGTGTTTGGCATAGGCATCAGGTTTAATGCTGTCTTGGAGATGTAAATAGTATTAGCTCATATATCACCAGAACGAGTCCTTGTGGTGATCTCAAGGTCTGTTGTGAAAGCAATTTTTCTATAGAGTCTGAGATCCCTCACTTGGAGAATAATGTAGGTTTCTCAGGTCAGGGCAAAAATGCACTGATAAAAGCCATAGACAACTGGTTTGAAAGCTATAATAGCTGCTTTTTATCTGAGAGAAGAGCTATCTCCAACATTTTCATCACAGACTGCTTCCTCAGCTCTAAAATAAATTAAAACTTGGCACATTTTAGATTTGTTGAAATATAAAATGCTAAGTCAAATTTCTCTGCTTGCCTCTGTGTAGGCTGACAAAATGTCAAAGAACAAGAAAAAGAAGTTGAAAAAGAAGCAGAAACGGCAGGCTGAGTTGTTAGAGAAGCGAATGCAAGAGATAGAGGAAATGGAGAAGGAAGCAAGCCCTGGGCAGACACAGCCTGAGGAGGAGGAAGAAGCTCAGACCCCTCTGGAAATGCTCATAAAAGTTAGTCCACCAGAGGAAAGTGTCGGCAAAAAGACAGGTATGGACCTGAAGTATTGCTGACATGGAGTGGGCAGTGTTGTCCATTCACTCATGTGGGTATGAGGAGAGAGTACCTTTAGTAGAGTTGGCTGTTGTCATTTAACCTTTTTGCATTGCATTCTGCCCTTCTAAAGAAACTGGGAAATGTCCTGTTGCAAACTGAATTAATGCATGATTGTGTGAGAACTCCCTACTTCTGTGGGCTCCTTGAATAGCTTCCAGCTATTTGTTCAGACATATTTTGCAATATTCTCATTTTCCACTCTTCCAGCACAAGTCCTTGTACAAGAGCCATCTAATCTAATGGAAGGCAACGTGGAAAAATGCATAACAGAAATAAACTGCAACGGAGTGATACAAATGACGGACTTCACAGACTCTGGGAATCAAGGGTCTGTGCGACTTGAGGATGACCTTCATAATGCCAATGACTGTGGCAATCACCCTCATACACAGAAGACTGAGAACTTCCATAGCCGTAATTACAGTCAGCATAACGCTGACTCAGAGAACAGGCCTCAAGAAGCAATGTCGGACTCGTTTGTGCCCTTAGTTTCAGAGGATTCCATGGCGTGTCAGCCCACATCCAATGACAAGCAGTCATTCAATGTGCAGGAGATTAACAATTTTCAGGAAAGCATCCCAACAGAGACTCCTTCAGAAGATGAGAATGAGAATAATAGCCCGTCAGACAACAAAGGTATAAGGGGAACCTTGTAAGACAGGGCTCCTTTTTCCTTGATGTGGGAGAGTTCTGTTACAACACTTCATCAGAGTTTTAATAGAAATGTGCATTTTGTAGGCTGAAGTGATCAGAACCACCTGTTTGAGATTTTTCCTGCCAGGAGTAATTAACCTGACAGTTATACTTCAAGATGTTCACTGCTTGTAGCTCCTGGTTGTAGTTGCACCTTAGTTTTTGACTTTTCAATGCATAAGTGTTCCTACTTTTAACAAGTACTTATACACTTGGTTTTCAGTGTAAGAACATTTTCTCCTTTGAATAAGGTGTTGCTTATTCAAGTGTGATTTTCACTAATAATTAGAAACACAAGTTTACAAATTGTCACTGGCTGCTAAATTAGGGGATAAGTACTGTTCAATGTATTCTGATAGTGTACAGCAGTTTAAACACATTCCAGGTGTGTGTGTTAAAATATGAATGGATAAAACTGTCTACTTTTGCATCTTTGTGTCAATGTCAGGTAAAGTATATCTACTTGGAGAAGGAGGGCAAAACTAACATTTGTACTTGTTAAAGAAAAGGTATTCTAGCATTTTCTTGCCAGAGTACCACTGGGGAGTTACATGGATGAAAAGTAGCAAGAAAAGTTTATATTTTGAAACTTGAACTGCAGTTAGGTGGATGCGTCTGCTAGATTACTAGGCGTCTTTTGCTTCTTACGGCCCTTTTCCAAATTGCTGGATGTAATTTAGTGACTTAATATTTTTGCTCTCCACTGTGTCATTCAGTTTTCCCAATATATACTTTAGCTCTTGTAATTGTGTTGCAGCAGTGAGTGATGGGTATATCAAAAAGATAGTATAATATGGGGACTTTCCTTCTTCAGAGACTTAGGGATTGTGAGGCTTGTTCTGTTTCTGACAATGCCCTTATTTCAGCGTTTTTTTTAAATATAGACAGACTTCTTAAGGCTGTGCAAAGAGTGCTGGGAAAGTCACTCTTGTATATGCTTACTTGTCCTTCTGTCCTTCTGCTTTGTGACACCAGTCAGTTCTTAATGCTGATAGTGGAGACTGCTGATTTTTATACCTAAGCATCAGGGAGGGAAAAGTTCTGATCTGTAAGAAAAACCCTTCCTGGCTAGGGAGAGGGTGATAGGATTTGGGTGACAGATGGTGACGCTGTCTGTGTAGCTTTAATCAGCTGTTGTACACATTGCCTCTAGGAAAATCAACTGCTGGGAATTTCCTTCTTAATCCTCTTGAGCCCAAGAATGCAGATAAGCTCAAAGTGAAGATAGCTGACCTAGGAAATGCCTGCTGGGTGGTAAGTGTACACTATTTTCACATTGACTGTTTAAACCTGCAAATTCATTCACAGTATGCCCAGATGGAAAATAATCTGTAAAAAAGGTTTTTAGACCTGGCTGTGAAAGTAGTGAGTTTGAAACTGTGACAGGGAAAAACAGAAGGGGAAGCAGGGACACTAAGAAAGAAATGGTCCTCTAAACATAAGCTTTTGGTTCATGCTTTGGGTGCCTCACTGGCATTAGATTTACTTCTAATAGCCCTGTGAACCATGTCACATACAGTGCATGGAAATCTGAGTATGTGATATTTCTAAAGGAGTTTGTAGCTGTCTTGGAGACTGTGAAAGTTGCAAACAATTGCTCTGATGTGCTAGTTCTGTAGTTTGTCAGACCATTTCAGTGGATTTGGGAGCTGTGTGAAAGATACTTGTGCAATAAAACTAAAAAGTTTTCTTTGATGGTTGTGCTGTGCTGCTTTCAAATGTTTGACATTTCAAATAGAAAAAATGTCTCATTTACTTGGCTTCTAAAATGGCAAAATACTTCAGATCTTGTGGGACAGATGAGTCTCAACTCAGAATTGCACATCAGGCTTGCAGTGTCTGGCAAGGTGATCTCTTACATTGGTGTTGCTTATCTGATTTAAGGTAGCTGGATCATGGCCTCTCTGTCATGATAGGACAGAGAAGGCCAGAGAAGGTACCTTCTCCTACATGATGGTAGGAGAAGGGTGCATTTTCTGAAAGTCTTCCCTTATTCTGTTTTTGTGGCTTGCTTTCCTCTAAATTGCTGGACTGTTTCACTTGAGGAGGAGTGTCTCATGTAGAGCATTTAAACAGCACTTGTAGGAATATAAGGAAATAGTTAATGAGGATGTTAAATGCAGATGAAATGTAATGGTAATGAGCTTTGATCTACTGTGGCCTTCCAGGTTGTTGATTCTCCTCTTTTAAACAGTCTTTAACTTTTTAGTAAAACATTTCTTTTATTTAGCACAAGCACTTCACTGAAGACATCCAAACAAGACAGTACCGGTCCTTGGAGGTGTTGATAGGGTCCGGGTACAACACCCCTGCTGACATCTGGAGCACAGCATGCATGGTGAGTGGTGTCAGCTGGGGGATTTTACACTCTTTCTACAGAGCATTCTGGGGAACTCGTTTGTGCTGTGTGCTCTGAGCTGCTGAGTGACTGGCCAGGCCTGGCAAAAAACCCTTACAAGTGTTCAGTCAACTTCCAGACTTGCTGAATACCATGTTTCCATAGCAGAGTTGTTTTATTTCTTTTTCCCCATGTGTGGCTTTCCTTTTGAAAATTTAGTTGTACAGCATCAGCGGATTCCAAATGTGATTGTACTTTGCCCATTGTGATTTTCTGAAAAACAAGACAACCATGCAATTCTGAAGACGATATCTTTTTATATTAAAAAAGCCTTCCTGCTGTATCTAGCACTGTTTCACAGATGCCCTCAGTATAATTTCTAATTTTTGTCATCCTCTGCGTGTTTAATCTGGTGTATAATCTGAGTAATGCTGAGATGAGGCTAAAGCTGTTCCTGTAATAGCTGGCAAATGTAGAATATGGTGATTAAAAAGATCAGTCTAGTCAGTTACCGTATGTGCCTCTTTAGTGTCTCCATTCTGTGTTTTCTACCTATCAAAGCTTGGGGTTTATATTTTAAGCTTGGAAAATAGACATTTTTGCTGTTTTGGAAAACAAGCCGTGATTTTGACAAATGTGTTAAAAGAAAAGGTGACGGGGTCGTGTTTTCTCTGCAGAGCGTGTGGCCATAATTACACTGTATGCCTAATTCAATAATTTGGCAACAGCAGTTCATAAAGAAAACTAACAATACAGGTCAGAGGTAGTATTCTGAGTAAAAATGAATACATAAAGGGTAAATATGTTACAGAATTTAGGAGCAGTGAGTTGAAATGAATGCAAATGTTCTTCTCATTTAAAACATGTTTTCATATCTACAGACAAATGTTCAGAAATTAACTGAAAAAGGCCTCTGAAATTTGGGGAGAGGAAGGAATCTTTGTACAAAGAAAAAAAAAAAAACAACAAGCAAAACAAAACAAAAAACCAACCCCAGAAACTATAGTTTGGACATGACATCGTTTTTGCAAAATGCTGTTGAGGGGAGGAGGAGGACAGGCTACACAGGTGTTTCACACTGGTGTCCTGCACTGTGCTGTGATCCAGAATTCATCATAGATGTGCCTATGATGTTTTTAATGGAGTTGTTTAGAATGGTGCAAAGTCATTGCACATCTTAGGCTGTAATGGTGTACTTAACCTGCAAAAATCTCGTACACAGCTATAATCTTATTTTTTCCCCACCGCTTTGCTTATGGCCCACAGAGGTTTGCACAGTGTTTTGAAGTGATTTAATGTGCTCATTTCTGTTTGTTTAGGCCTTTGAGTTAGCAACAGGAGACTACTTGTTTGAGCCTCACTCTGGAGAAGATTACTCACGAGATGAAGGTCTGTTTGCCTTTCCCTTTTTAAAATGAGACATGAAATTCAATGGTTGCCTCTTCAGAATGAGCCTTCTCTTTTGAGTGAGCAATGCAAAGGCTCCTTGCAAAAACATTATTTACCCAAATCCGCAGCAACTGTGCTAAAGCCTCTGCAGTAAAACACTGTGCAACAAGTCTATATTCTTGTTCTGGTGTTTCACATTCCTCTTGCTCCTGGATTCTCTACCTTGCATCTCAAACTGATTAGGGCTTCAAATTCCCCTTATTTTTTCCCCCCCTTGCCCCCTGGCTTTGTTGTTACTTAGTGTAATCTTGATTTCAGGTTGATATCAAAGTAATTTTTAAGGCAGATAATGTCTTTCTTATATCCCAGAACAGGAAACGGCGGCATAAAGATGTCTTGTGTATTTTTGGTGTTGTTTTTTTTAACATGCAGATCACATTGCATTGATCATAGAACTTCTGGGGAAAATACCTCGCAAGCTCATTTTGGCAGGAAAATATTCCAAGGAGTTTTTCACCAAAAAAGGTAAAAGGAAACAAAGGAAATACCACTTATCCCCTCATCTTCTACCCCAAATACACAGTAATGTCTTGCTGGAACTGCCAGCAAAGATGCCTCTTTAAGTCTTTCCTTTGTTTTATGAAAGGCTTCATCAGTAAAACTGCAGCTAAATCTAAGGCATTCTTGTTTTACTGCTAAAAGTATCCTACATCCTAGTACTTGACATCTTGGTGTAGATCAAATGTAGCAGGTGGAAAAACAGTACATTAGATGTTTAGTCAAACTTGATGTAGCTTTATTTAGCTGATCTTTGTCAACTAGAGGTGGTGACTCACTTTTGAAGACTTCTCTAGACAGCTTTACTCCATTTCTAGCATGCCAGTCACCTTAAATAGTGCCTTGCATCATGAGCCATATTGCTCAGAGCACATAACATTATCATAAAGCCCTAAGTACCCCAGAAATGTATTGAGTCGAAAAAGTAGGTTTTGACCTAATTTAATACTTTTTTTTTTTTTAATAAAAACAAACTCTTTTTTCTTAGTAGCGTATTGCTTTCTCAAACAGTGCAGTATACATTGCATGTATTCCAAAGTCAATGGCATAGTGTTTATCTGTCATGTCGAAGCAGTATAGCTGGTGATTTAATGAAGGTAATATTTGCTTATATTGGATCTGAAATAGCAGGAGGTGAAAAAAGAACCTTTCAAGGAAGTACATTTCTGCAATACGCTTACAAAGCAGTAGAAAAGGGGTTTTACTGTAATTTACTTCTCCCTTCAGCATGCCCTACCACATTATATTCCCTATGCCCAACTATTAGAACAGTTTCTGAATTCAATCTGTCATGTTTAGCTGTTCAGCCTATTTTATTGAGCTGCTCTGTTCCCATGTCTTGCCAGACTTAACCTGTCTGTCTTGGGTTTTCAGGTGATCTGAAGCACATCACCAAACTGAAGCCCTGGGGCCTTTTTGAAGTGTTGGTGGAAAAATACGAGTGGTCCCAAGATGAGGCAGCTGCATTCACAGACTTCTTACTACCTATGTTGGAGCTGATCCCAGAGAAACGAGCTACAGCAGCAGAGTGTCTCAGGCACCCTTGGCTTAATTCATAGAAGCTTCAGTGCAGTGCCACAGCGTTACACTCTGGTTTACAGCATACCCTACACACACCTAGCTGCCCCTTCCCAGATCCATTGTTCTCCTTGTTCACTTTCAGTGTGAAGTTCTTCCTTCAAGGCTTCCAAGATTTTAGATAAATCTAAGCTGTTCTGCTGAATTTGCTTGTGTGACTTAATGGGGACTTTCCTCAGCCAGTGGGCATCATCTGTGTTTTGCCTTGATTGGGCTTCACCAAAAACTAATTGACTGGAAAATGAAATCTTCCCTCAGTCTCCTCACTGTTAGGCACCATGTGTTACAGATGTGAGTTCACCTGTGCTCAGATGTGCTCTCTTAGCTAGATTTCAACTCTCCTTTCTTCATGAGGGCCATGCAAAGATCTCACTGACTCAGGAGTAAATTTCCCTGATCCAATAGCTAGTGACGGGGTGAGAAGTAACAGGTGGCATCAAGGTGGTGCCACATCCCTGTAGAGCGAAGACCTTGAAATCCTCCATCACTTTCTAGGTATCTACTGTATTCTTTCCAGTCACAAACTTTTATTTAGTTCTAGCTGCTTTTAAAAAAGCTTTTTAAACCTAGGTTTTAGTATCCTTTATTTCTTCCTCCAAAGTGTCCTGTCCGTTAACCTTTTCCTTCCCCATACCCTTGGTAGAATAGTTTCTGAACTTGGTGATGTTTTCTACTTCAATGCCTGTGACTAAAAGGCAAGCAAAATAAGCAAAAGCTGGAACTGACTGAACGCACAATCTTCAGCACACAGATGGGTTCACCCCTTGGTCTGCAAAGTGAGAGCCTTGTTGCAGGCAACTCTTAACATTATAGCAAGACATAAGGTTTGGGGATTTTTTTATCCCTAACTGGCACTTTTTTGCCTTGCTTGAAGTGGTTGCTGTATTTGTGAGAGACTGCCTTTCACAGATGCAGTTTACTCTGACTTTTAATTTTTGACCATTCACTTTTTCCCAAGGAAAGGGTTGCAGCGCCTGTATCACAGCCATGCCATAGCCCTGGACTTTCAAAATTAAAACTTGAAATCTCTGTAAAGATTTCTTTTCTCTTAATTTGCTTCAGGTGCGGGCCTTCAGAAATAACTTCCCAGGATGGGACTGCCTTTTATTTTCTGGGCCATTAGCACAGGAAGAGCTAGCAGAAGTGGAAGAGAATTGACTTTTCCATGTAGATACTGGGTTAGAAGCTGTTTCTAGAGTTACCCCAAGTAAAAAGTGTTCTATGGGGCTTCTATGTAAACTTCTCAGAGGGGGTTTGGATATAATGAGTTAAATGGGTTAATTTTAATTAAAAGTTAAATCACTGTGGCATTTGCTAGTTTTATGATGGCTTCTTCTAGAGTTGCCCATCCTATTACAGATTCAGTGCATCCCACTCTTCTCTAAGCAAGATTTGGCAGCGTTGAGACTTCAGAGGCACTTCCTTACTCTGGACCAAACAAGCCTTTGGATTTGTGGTGGCTTTCAGAGGATAGAAGTTGCTGGAGGCCATGCAGATGCTATCCAAGACAATTACATTGCCAAAGCTGCGAAGATCACTGTTATGTGTCACTTCTATGTGTGTGTTTGGAAATTTTGGTTTATAAGGATCGTTCATTCATAAACCGGATCATTTAATCCACTGGAAAAGAGTTTCTCTGGTTCAGAGCCTGATGGGGCTTATTTATGCAAATCATGCTGCATGTTCCTTTAGTGGTAGATCAGATTCTCTATGCATATAATATAAAGTGAAAGGCAGGTAACATACCAAAAACGTTTCAAACGGCTGATTTGACAGGTTTTTCCCCCGTTCATGTGGAGTTTTCCAGTTCTAGGTCTCTTCTGTATCTGTTACAGGACTGCAGACAGTACTGGGTTCCAACTTACTGTGAAGATACATTGGCAGGCAAACAATTCCTGTGCTCTTGAAAGCTTGCCCAGTCCTGCGTACTTGAGACTGGCTGATGAAGGAACATTTCCTAGAAGGGGTCTGCAAGCTTTGACTCTGAAGAGCTCCTGCCCATCCTTTCTTCCCTTTCATCTGCCACCCCTGACTGGAGGAGGAGGTTTTTTACCCAGATAGCTAAGGCTAGAGCCAGCTTGGGAGTTAAAGACCTGCAGAAGCAGCTGTCACAATTCAGTCTTGTACTGTCTGCTTATTCACTTGGGGTTTGTTAAATTTCCAAGTTGCTGTAATGTGCTCACACTAAAGGATTTGTACTTGCTGTGTCAGTCTAAAACCTGAAGGAAAATACATTTTTATTCTTTCTACTTGGGTGCTTTGTCTTTTTTTTTTCTTTGTGAAAGCCCTACAATAAACAGATTGTTTAATAACTGAACCCTAGTCTTCATACATTCCCTCTGTAAGTCTGTTCTTTCTGAGTCAGTGGCCCGTGGATGAAATTTGCTTCAATAGTGAGTGATTTCCAGAATGAGACAGAGGGAGATGGTGTAGGTGAGGATTTTGTTGCTGGTATTGTGATCTGTTTCAAAAAGGGGGGAAGAGTAATAAATAGCAGGACAACTCTGCTGGAATTTTTCCATTCTAAAATACATTTTTCTTTAAGTTTGTCGTATCTCTGCTGTCTTCCCTAGCCAAGAATATTAACAAAACCTTCCCAGACACTTTTTTAGAAGGAAACATAAAATTGTAAGGTACTTGTTAGAACTGAATTGAATTGACTGCTACAGGAACCAACAAATTACAGCAAGTAGAAATTAAAATAATGTAGGCTAATTTTGGGTTCTGACAAGGTAAGAGCTGGACAGGAGAATGTTTTGCTTTATCTTCTGCAGAAATGGACTGTGCCACAGGCTGCCGTGGGCGGGTGTTGGATGGGATGAGAGATGATGGCTAAATCAAGTTAATGGGGTGGTGCAGTGACTGGCACCATCTGCTGTGGTTTGCAGGTGCTGTTACAGGCCTGCTACAGCCCAGCAGATTGGGTTTTGGTTTTGTTGTTTGGTTTTTCTTTTCCCAGGAAACTGCCCTTTTGGTTATTGTTGCATAGAGTGAGAAACTGATTCACCGCTCAGGTAGGAATTGGCTGTCATCATATTTTTCAAGTAAAAGTGCGATCTGGGACATGACAGAGGGTTTCCTCTGCCCTGAGCAGACTGGCACAGAATCCAAAACACTGATTTTTATTTTACTTTTTATTCATAAGTAATTTCCTTGAAAGAAGGTGTACAAACTCCACAAAAAAAGCAGCAAATCACTGTCATTCCCCTCTTGCCCACGACTCAGAAAAACCCCATGTCCAGTTTGGGCTCTTCCCATCAAATAAACTCCACAAGAGCTGTGAGCCAAGAGCAGCCCCATGGGTGAAGAAAACAGTTGTAGAAAATCCACAGAATTTGGTAAGTTTAAATCCCCTAGAAAAGTCACTTTAAAGAAAAGAGCTGATGAAAGAAGAGCTCTGGGTCTCCCTGGGAACAAAAAGAATAAGTCAGCTGTTGCCAAATGGAGCATGACTTCAAATTTTAAGCTTGTGTTATTTCATCATTTGGCAAGGGTTTATGTCTTCCCAGTTCTGGGATGCAAAGCAAAGACTATTTCCTCTCTAACCACAAATAAAACCAATGTGACTATAGCACCAAAACCAGTTGTCAATCGTTTAGTAATCAGAATACAACAGCAACATTATGTATGCTGGGAAGAAACATTAAAAGTCTGTGGGTATCACTTACGTGGTAATGAGCTCTGTCAGTCATTTCCCTCTTCTGTAAAACAAAAGGATAATTACAGTGTTAATGGGGTGCGGTATAAAACTCAAAAGTACTGGGTGTGTTTTACAGGTTTGTTTTCAAAAAGGGAGAAAACAGTTTAAAACAGGATGAGGAGAAAGCCCCATGCCTGTGAAAGTTAGTATGGGTCCATTTGGGCTCCTGCCTTGTTCTCCATCAGTCTTCTGCCTGCTGCTGACTCTCCATCCCTATGAAGCAGTGTGATGACTATGCCAGGAGGGAAGCCAGCATCCTCCCAGATAACAGCAATGAGCTGAGTGGTTGAAACACTGCAGCAGGACAGGACCCCAGAGCTCAGCCCTAGCTGTCTTTACCTTTATTTTCCACTTTGAAATCGGATGGGAGGAGGTTGTCCTGCCGGTTCCCCAGCACAAAGGCCAGGAAGGACAGTATGAGAGCGTCGAGGATGCCAATGATGCAGAGGATGTAGGCCCAGCGCACGGTGCAGGCACCCAGTGTGTATTTGTCTGTCTTGTCCCCACACAGGCGCTTCACCTCGCTCGAGTCCCAGCCGTCAGGGTAGATCAGGCAGCCAATCATCAGCCCAGTAGCTGCAGGGAGAGGGACACACGTTGCCATTGGGGGACATTACAGTGGCCACAAGTTGCGTCCTGAGCTGATACGGGGAGGTGGAGGAGCATGGCTGCAAACACAGCGCTACAAACAGATAAGGCACTACAGACTGGCTTGCCAGGCTTAAAGGGGCCCTGTGGTTGCCCATCACTGTGGGCTCTGCTCTGTTCCACAGCTGGGGAGGAGCAGGATACAGTATGCTGCCTTCCCACAAGTCAAGGACATGCTGCACCAGCATCTCCCATCACTCTGTTGCCCAGGCAACATCTCTCCTGCCTCTGCACGCATCCTTGGCCATGTCACTTCAAAGGAATGTTTTCTCCAAACAAAACTGGAATGGGTTTAGTCTGTGCAAGATGGAGAACCTTCCTAGCACCCTGCAAGTAGCTGATTTCAGCTTAGGGTTTGCTAAGTTAGAGCTGGTGTCAGCAGCAGCTTTGCAGGCAGATTAATTCTGCTTGTTCAGCTGTGGTGGTTCCAGCCCAGCCACAACACATCAGCTCCTCCTGTGACTGTTCTCAGTGCACCCACGACCTCAACAGCTGATCCAGCCTGGCCCCAGGGCCCTCAGCATGTCACCTCTGCAGCTTTGCCACAAGAGTTGCAACAACCTTGGTGCTGGCAGGCTGTTGAAGCTCCTGTCCCAAAACCTTGGAAGTACTTTTTTTTCCCTCCTAACATGCCAGAAAAACTGTTGTATTTACTGGACAAGAAAAGTGACCGGGCTTGGGATAAGAGACGAGTTCATCTATAAGGCTTTGGGACATGATTAACAGAGGCCTTTCACATCCTCCACTGTTATCTTGGTGCAGAGCATGGAAGTAATTAGTGTTTTATGTGTTTTGGTGCAGATGCAGGGCTGTTCCCGACTCCTCTCACACAAGAAACAACCCCATGGTGGGACCTCTGGACAAGCAGATGTTTGTCCATGCCCCTCTTGGACATCTGCAGCCTCCTGCAGCAGTGAGATGCACCTTGCCCCACACCAGTGCCTCTTCTCTGTCACTGGGTGCTCAGTAAACCAGAAAAGACTTTTGAGGCAGTTGCTTTGTCCTTTTCCGATGTTTTCTTTTTCCTTGGCTTGGGGACAAGCGAGCAGCAAGGAGAGCAGGCAGCTTCCTTGGTCTGCAGGGAAGATTTCTCTTCACTGAAAAGCAGCTGGTTTATTCTGTATTTAATTAATTTTTCCCTGTAACTAACTGAGAGGAGAGGCACAGAGAAATGGGGAAAGCTGGAATGAAATAATTTCTGTGAAAATGCACCCTGGTGCACAGCAAAGGCCAGGAAGTGAATCCTCTCTAAGCCTGCCCCCTTCGTAAAGTAATTCCTAAAATGCAGCAGCACCTGACCAGTTCTGCCTGTGACATGTTTCTCTCCCCCCATCCAGAACAAAATAAATACAGGTAAAAGCCCCACATACCACAGCAAAGCCTTTCCCTGCTCCAGTTCAGCTCCCCAAGATGCTGAGCTGCCCCAAGCCTCTTATCTAAATCTTTGCTTGAGCTCGCTTCTTTAGCTGGGAGCTGGAGAAACCCTGATGGACGTCTCACGGGGTGTCAGCTGGGCTGTCCCTTCCGTGGGAGCTGTGGCATGAATGATTCAGGAGCAGCAAAGGGCTGGGTTGGGTTTCAGCTGAGGCTTTGATCAAAAACAGGAGCTGGGTTACCAGGTGTCTCAAGTGCACTGGGAGAGAGGTGGGGAAGGCTGGAGATCCACAGGGGTGAGCAGAAAAGTAGGAAAATGCGAGCGATGGTACCAAGTCATAGTCAGTCTCCTCCTCCTCTTCCATTTTCCTAGTACATTATTCCCTGAGCTCACAGAGTTATTAAAACAGCCCAGCAAATGTTATCACTGTCTCCCTGCTTAATTCCTTCAGGATTCCAAACACAGCAGGGAGTTCCATGCCCCAGCCCTGCGGGGGTTTTGTGCTCTCAACTGATACTCCAAAGCCACAAGCTCGCTGCACGGTGGGGCTGAGCAGGAGCGCTGGCTGGAGGGAAGTTCCTCCAGGTAAGTGGAGCCAAGCCGGGGCCGGGCCGTAGGTGCCACGCGGTTTTGCTGCAGCAGCAGCACCCAGGGGGACGCATCGCCCAACATGCAGTGAGTCTGCTGTGTCTCAGCTGCTCTGACAGGCTTTACTTACTACAAACTCCACACTGGTAACCAAAGGGAGAGCAAATGGCATGAAGGTGACACAGGTGTCTCTTTACAGGCCAGCCCCACTCTCAGCAGGGTCGAGGTGGGGGCAAAAAGGGAAAAGCGGCTCTGGTCGGATCATGGGCAGCTCCCGGCCCCTCCCGTGCATCACCCCAGCCCTGCTCACCTGCTGCCAGCTGCATCCAGGCACACACTTTATAGACAGTGGCTGCGTTACAGAAGAAGAAGAGGCTGAAGCAGAGGATGGAGCCAATTATGAGGAAGGTGGATATGCCTACGAAGAACATGGCAGTTTTGAAGGCACTGGAAGGGATGGTGCCGAAGTCGAGGGGGCTGCCCTTGCAGATGAGCTCCCCGGTGAGCGCGTTGCCGATGCAGTAGGAGAAGAGGCCGAAGTAGCCGGCCTGCGGCGTGTCGATGCTGTCGCCGATCCAGTACGGCTGGATGAAGGTCACCACCATCAGGATGGAGAAGCAGAGGGTGAAGAGGGCCCAGAGCACTCCCATGGCCCGCGCATTCCTCACGTAGTTGGTATGGTAGATCCGGGCTGCTTCCTGAGCCGGCAGCAGCTTGGACATGGCGGGGCTCCTGTCCCGGCCCCGCTCCCGGGGCGCCCGGAGCGGCCCCGCCCGGCAGCGGCAGCGGCAGCGGCTGGACCGCCCCGGGGGGCGGTGGCGGTGAGAGCTCCCCCACACCCCCAACGAGCCGGGGAGGACCCGGGAGGAGCCGGCACGACCCCCGCCCCCTGAGCCGGGGAGGGCGCGGCAGGAGGCGGGCGGCGCGGCTCGAGGTGGGGTCGCGGGATGCGCTCCTGGGATGGGTCCCCGGAATGTGCCCCGAGGGTGTGCCCTGTGTCCCTGGAATGCTCTCTCGGGATTTGCCCTTTGCCTCCACCGTATGCCCTACCATGCACCCTAGGATAAGCCAAATATCCCCAATGTGCACCCTAGGATCTGCCCTGCGACGCACCCTGGGCTGTGCACCAGAGTTGCAACCTGTGCCCTGCTGTGCACTCAGGGGTGCACTCTATCCCCCGCCTTGCCCCAGAAACGTGCTGTGTGCCCTGCAATGTACCATGCACACCCAGGATGTGTGGCAGGATGTGCTGGGCTGCACTGTGTACCCCTGGATGTGTCCCAGGATGTGCCACATGTCCCAGGATGCATGTTGGGATGCACCCTGGGATGTGTCTTGCCCCCCAGTATGTGCTCCAGAATGTGCCAAGGGCTGTGCCATTAGCCTTGGGATCCCACCAGGCTCTGCTGTGTGCCCTAGGATATGTCCCAAATTCTGTGCCTCCTTGGGCTGCTCCCTTCCGGCCTCCCAGCTCATGTCGCAAGGGTCTTCCCCCACTGGTGGGGAGTACATAGGGTGCTGCATCATTGGGGTGGTGGACTGCAGGCCCTTTGACCCCCCATTGTAGCCTAAAATTGGCTCTTAAAGAAACCTTTAAGAGTCAATTTGTGAGTTTTAGAAGCCGGGCATTCTTTATTACAATGCGCTGTATAATCACAGCACTGCCCCGGGAATCAGTTCACCGAAGTGCACACAGAGGTATCATCTTCACTACAGCTTATATGTCAGTGTTACGTGATTATTCATTTTTCGTTCCTTGCATTCTTGTTGCATATTTATGACATCGCTCAACGCTTTTTAGCATGCATACATATCCTTATATGGTCTTTGAGGGGCTTCATCAGTGACCTCTGTTGGTTGTCCATGTCTGGAACCCCCAAAGTTCTAAGTAACTGCCTTATGAACTTCAAGACAATACACCTGGTTATAGAGGAACTGGGTGTTGCTTGGCTGGCTGCCTCAGTTCCCTTCTTCATTGTTTCTTTACTTTGCCTGGTTAGCCCCTTTAAATCACTTGGCTCAGCTATATGTAGTTTCTACGGTACATTCCTCTGTAAAAATTGTTAGTTCTTGTTGCATCTCAAAACTCAGATATCACCATCAGCTCCAGGGCTGACTGGGGCTGCAAGCAGGCAGGGGACCATCCCCACAGTTTCACTGCAGAAAGGGAAATGGCTCATCCTGCTACAAGGACACACCAGAGTGTCAGCCAGCACCTGTGGTAGGGCCAGGTCTCTGCCCGATCCCCATGTTCCCATGTCCCCATGCCAGAGGAGCATAGGCAGCCCTAAAGCCTACCCTGACAGGTTGCAGGCACTTGCAGCCACCTTGGGACCTCTCTTCAGGAGCCACATCTGCCTCACATCCCGAGAGACCACACAGGTTCAGCTCCTGTCATGAGGACTGGACGCCACAAGCCAGCGTGACAGCCATAGCCAGCGTCATCCTCGGCATCACCCCTGCAGCTGTCAAAGGTCAGGGCTGCCTGGCCATTAATCATTGCTGAGAACAGCCAAGCATGAAAAGCTGTGCTGTTCCCAGGGCTGTTTTCCTTTCATCAGCTGCAGCCCCCAAGCACTTAAACATAGAGCAAATATTTGGCAGGGCAGGGTGAGGTTCTGGCCCATGGGCTGGGGACCTTGGTGAGCTCTGGAGCACTGAGAAAGGCCAGCAGGATGCTTGCAGGGGGCCGAGCTCTCTCTTGTATGCTTGGGTTTCTTGGCATCTGTGATCATACCATTTGAGTGATGGAGGATCTGGTGGTGGGCACTTTCTCATGGAACAGAGTTCCTACCATGGCACTAGCCCTCACTTTGCCTGGGAACACACCAGCAGAGCCCAGCAAGGAGGGCATTTCAGAGAACCTCAGCTCCACAGCTCACCGTTGCCAAGGTAAGGGAGAGGAGGGAGGACTGGAAGAACAGGACTGCCGTTACTTTGCATTCACTTTGGCCAAAGGAGCTGCCAAAGGGCAGGTTGACATCGCCAGCAAGGGACAGTCACCTGGGAATGGGAGCTGGTAGCATTGGTAGCACAGGCATCACTGTTTCCCTGCCCTGGGCGGTGCAGCACTGTCCTAATGCCACGAGTTGAGATGTGATAGGAGCAGCCACGTCAGCTGATGGAGACACCGGCTATAAAGCGCCTGCTGGCCCCATGGTGGAGGCACAAGGGAGCCCACCATGGCCAACATGGTGCCTGTCTGCCTGCTCCTGGCCCTGATGCTCCTGGCCCCAGCCCTGTCAGCACAGCAGGAACGAGGGCTCATCTTCAACTTGGTAAGAGGAGACTAACCATGATCTTGGCACAGTGGGGGTTGCTCCAGTGCTGCAGTGGGGCACACAGAGCATGGAGGGTTGGAGGTGTCTGCGGTGCTTTGGCCTCTGGCAGCAGTTATGTGAGGGACCCCCAGGATGATGGATGCAGACACCAAGAGCAAAACTTATCGTGTCTGGGAAAACTGAGGCGGGTGGGGATGACGTGCCGGGTTTTCCAGAGTTGTGAGAGATCTTGGATCCCGGAAAAGCAGCTGTGTAAAGGAATAGGGAAGTCATAGAGCAGATGAAACTGAAGCTCTCAGCTGCCTGAGCCAGACAGAACCCCCACCCTGGGTGGCTCACGGGGACTGGGGAGGGGAGACGCTTTCCTGTGGTGTCTCAGCCCTGCTCCCATGAGCCCCACAAAAACAGCACTTCAGTGGGTGGCATTTTGGGCCAGACTGAGGAAATGCTGCAGACTGGGAGACTCAGGCATGCTGGCAGTGGTGCTGACCCTGAGCTGAAAGGCAGAGCTGATGTTCGACACCCACCCAAACCCCCTGGGCCCACAGCTAGGGAGGGATCAAGGGGGGACAGAGAGGGACCTGGTGGTCAAACCCTGCCTTGTCATGCAGGAGATTGGGGAGCTGTGCCTGCAGAGTGCCCAGTGCAAGAGCGGCTGCTGCCACCGGGACAGTGGCCTCAGCATGGCTCGATGTGCACCGAAGGCAGCCGAGTTCCAGGAATGCACCCCAAAGGTATGTACTTTCCTGCTCCCAGGGGTGGCTGGGGATGGGGGCATGTCCCCCACACTGCACCGTGTCTTGGTTCCCTGCAGAGCATCTATGGGGTCTATTACAAGTGTCCCTGCGAGAGTGGCTTGACCTGTGATGCTGATAAGACCATCGTGGGCTCCATTACCAACACTGACTTCGGCGTCTGCAAGGACCCCCGGGGCTTCTACAGGTGGTGAAGAAAGAGACCCCCTGGAGTCCCTGCTCCTGCCACCCTGCCTTTCCCCTTCCCAGGGGTACCTGGATCTGGCTGTGGGAGAATTTGAGTAAAGAGCAGCTTCTGCTGAGCTGCAAGCCAGCGTTTTCACTCGGCGCAGGCCCCCTGGCCCGGGATAGGGACAACAGGGCCAGAAGGTCCTGGAAAAGCCACAGGGACATGATAGTTTTACCTATATGTGTGTGCAATCGTATAATAATCTGGTCTAGGTCAGCAGAGAGCCATGGGGTGAGCTCTGCTCAGGGGTAGTGTTAGCAAAGGGGGTGCAGGGGAGGGGAAGATGCAGCAGCCCCAGGATATGAGAGAGCTACTTTGGTTGTGCTGGACTTGGTTTATTTCCTGCTGTGGCTGCTCTGATTGGAAACATTTCCTAGAAAAGGTTTGTTGCTAGGGAAGAGGAACTTGCAGGGGTTGTTGAAGCTGTGGGTGCTCAAGGTGTTTGGTGGTCATGTCCACCTCCCATGTCATGCCACACTGTGGGCTCTGGATGACCATGCCTGCACCTCCTCCTCAGGGTGAGCAGATGTGGCCAGGAGGGGAGAGGTCAGCCAGGTGGGAGTCCTCCCTGAAAAGGACCTTGTAGGGGCAGCAGTTGTAAATGCCATGGGAGACCCTCATGCAGCACCTCCATCAGCATCTTGTAGAGTATCTTCTCTGGCTGAAAGATGTGCAGGGGCTTTGGGAATTCAGGATGGACCTGGGGAGAGACGGTGCTGGAAGCAGCCCTGGCTCGCAGTGAGGTGGCAAATCCCCTAAGCCCTGACCCCGGCAGAGCTGTGCCCTGGGCAGGGTAGCCTGCAGGGTGTGATGCCCAGCTTGGAGTCAACGTTTTGGGCATGGGGAGGGAGCACAGATGTACTACAGCAGGATGAGGAAGAGGAGGCACCCATCAGGCAGAGCTGAGGAGGGAGCAGGAGATGAAGGGGTCGTCAGAGAGGGTGTTCTTGGCTTCTCTCATGCAGATTTCATGCATGTTTTTTTGCCCTGGGGGCATGACAACAATCAGGCACCCCCACTGCTGCTTCCCACTGCCCCAAGGGGCTCTGCACCAGGTAGGGAGGCCACAAAGCCTGGGGGCCATACCTTGCAGCTGAGAAGGTGCTGTAGGAAACTTGCTTTCCAGGAAAACAGTGACTGGCAGCTTGAGGATCTGAACCTGCAGAAGCACCAGGGACACCTCTGGGAGGGTGGCACAGCTTGGAGGGTCCCCACTGTGGCAGCGTGGGGACCTTCTGGCCCCTGAAAGTTTGACTCGGCGGAGCTGCAAGAGGAGAAAATTCTGACCTGGATTTTAGTTTTAAACTTGTGGTGGGTGGTGAAAGCTTTGAGAGTCTTGTTCTCATCGTAATGGTGGCCCTGGCAAGAGGCCACTAGGTGAATGTCCTCATCAGTGCACCCCCTGGTGTGTGTGGGGTGCTGCCAGCCCTGGGGACAGGGGGACCCTACACTAGCGTAGGGGCAACCTAAGTTGGGAAGGGGGATATAAGCAGGGCATCCTTGTGCAGGCAGGTTTTGCTGCAGCAAGGTTCCTTGTGGGGGGACATGTGGGAGATGCAGCCCCCCAGCAGGGACCATACTTCACACTGGGTGATGGAGAGGAACAAGCATTGGGGTACTCCTTCCTCCCTCAGTGCTTTGCATGGGGTTTAACCCTCCTTGGTTAAAAAGCAATGAGGAGTATGAGACTGAAGGGATGTTGGGGTGGAGGGCAGCCCAAGACCCTCCCCAGCCTCACCCCATCATCAGGATTGCACCCCACTGTCAAACCCCATCCCCTCCTGTTCACCCATGGGGTGCCCCGCTTACCAGGGAGGTGTGTGGAACATTCCACCCGCCTGAGTGTCCCCCCTTCCTGCCTCCCCTGTGCTCCCCCGCCCGCCCTGGCTGTTGTTACTGGAGGGTACAGGATGTTCTCACTCAGCCGAGCTCCTCTCCCCCCTCTCTCCCCCCTTTCCGCCAGCCCTTGGCCTTCACCTCTTCTCCTCTGCACTGCTTTAACTCTGTTTTTTTTCCAAAACATCACCTTTTCCTCTTCCTCTTCTTCCGCCTCTTCTTCTTCTTCTTCATTTCTTTTTAATTTCTGCACAGATGCACTGATGCTCCTTCTCTGCCCCTCCCAGGGAGTCCCTGCACCGTCAATTCACTGCATCTTCAGTGGTGTGCCCACACAATGCCCAGCTTTGCAGACATCCCCAGCAAAGATGCCCTACTCCCAACCTTGCAAAACATTCCAAGAAAGAAAGTGTGTGTTGAGCTGCCTCTTCTGGCTTTGCCTTTGCATGTGACAGAGGGAACAATGTCAGACACTCTCCTTTTTTCCCACTCTGATGTTTTTCCCTGGAGTTGGAACAGGAAAGGACCTGAGTGAAGGGCAGGGACCTGCTGCAGGCAAACCACAGCCCCCGGGGTCCCAAAACTTGGGTGTGAGGATCTCGGTCTCTCCTCTGTCCTCAGGGTTGGCTTTGGGGCTGGAAGTAGGGTCTCTTGAGGAGGCTCCCCCATCCCAGAGCAGCCCAGGGCTGAGGACTGCCCAGCTTGGGGCAGTAGTGGAGGTTGCAAGTGGGACATGGGGGACGCAGAGGTGGCCCTGGAGGACATCCAGGCACCACACACACCTCCATGAGCCCCTCATGATATTGTCCAGCAGGGCACAAGTGGAAAAATCCTCAGACTGAATAATTTGCCCTGCTGGAAGAATTAATTAGTGCAATACAGGGATGTGAGGAGGGTGAGTGAGGGAGTCTGATGGGCTGCCTCAGCCTCGTGAGAGCTCGACAGTAGGTGCTTTGCTACAGCCACTTTGTGGGGGTGGTGCCAAGCTCAGATCCCCCTTGATGAGTATTTTTAGCATTAAATTCCCTGAAATGCTAGTGAGCGGGGCTGGGGGAGCGGGCCAGCCCCATAGGTGGGAGAGGAGATACTGGGGGGATACCTGGTGTGGCATGGCATTGCTGGGGATGCACTCTGGGGGATGCACAAAGGGGTGTTAGGGTTGATGCTGGGGGTTGATGCCGGGTGTGATGCCAGGGGCATTGCTGAGGGGAACGCTGGGGGAATGCGGGGTGATGCCGGGGGCCACGCCGGTCTTCAAAAGCCAGGGGACCCGAGCGGGACCAGCCGCTTGGAGGTCCCGCAGTGGCCCTGCCCGGTCGCCTCCCCCCTCCGTCCCCCCCGCCCCCTCCCGCCGCTGAGTCAGGCTGTTCCTGGAGCTCCCGCAGCCGGTACATCGCGTCCCCACGCCAAGCCCTGGCACCGCGCCCGCCCGCCCGGTGCTGCTCCCGGCAGGGGCAGGGCCCGGCCCGGCCCCGGCGGCTCCTCCGGGCTGCGGCTCCCGGCAGTGGTGGGGCTGAGGCCGGGGGCGAAGCCCCGGGAACTGCCGGCGGGACTTGGGGGGACGCAGCCGTAGCACTGGCCCGAGGATTACTTGTACATATCCCTGCCGGGTGTGCCCTGAACCCAGGGCTCCCCGGGCACCCAGCAAGCACTAGGGCACCCGGGGGGGATCTCCCCGGAGTGTTTTCGGGCCTCAGACCCCTCTAGCAGGAGCATCTCCACTGCAGGGCACAGCCTGGCTGCTGAGCGTCCTCGAGGGTATTGCACCTTTTGCCACCCCCGCACCCAACCCAAAAGAGAGGTGCCAGCCTGCACCCTCCCACCCGGACACCCCCGTTCGAGTGGGGCAGGTGAGGAGCCCCAGCCACCCCCAGCCATCCGCCCTCCCCGGCGGAGGCTGGTACAGTTCGTTATGTCCAGACCGGAATGTACTTTGTGTTGGAAGTGGCCACCAGCCAGGACGGCAAAGCCGGACTTTATTTATCCTCCCTGCTCTGGCCCCGCTGCATCCTGCCCTTACTTGTGTGGGGCTGGATCTCCAGCAGGGCTGGGGGAGCCCTAGACTCTGTCCACCCCTCATCTGCTCATGGCCAGCTGGGGAGGACAGGGATTTTCCCCCTTTCCTCAGAAGATAAATAATCTGGGAAAATATTTGTGTCCTTTCAGCTTGTAAAAGCTGTCCCTGGTGTCTGGAAGGAAGTGTCATAGGGAAGATGGGGATGCAGGGATGGGTCCAGCCCCAGCAAAGCCTCTGGCTGGAGGTGCCCCTGTCTGCTGGCAAGAGGGTTTTTTGCAAAGGGACCAGAATTTGGATCACAGTCTGGTAATTTATGGATTGGAAATACATGTAGAAAGAGCCAGCCCTAGCTGTGATGCAGAATGGAGCAGGATCAAGCCTCTGATGGAGCCAGGGCTTCTCTGGAGGTCCCCATGTGTGGGGGATATGTCTTGGCCCCTCTGCTGCTCAAAATTCATTGTAGGAGCCATGAGTCCAAGCTAAGAGAGGGACAGTGTTGGAGCCTCAGGACGGATCGGAGGGATTGCCCCAGGCTGGGTCTGACCAGTCATTCCACGACTAGACAGAGAATCCCTCCTGTGGCCTTTCCGGTAGGAGGATTTGGGGGGGAATTTAATACAGAAAGCAGCTTTCCAGCTGCTTTGCACCCCCGGGTCAAGTATCCTCATACCAAATGAGTGGTCTTGCACTACTGCCTCCATTCCCCCATGCCCTCATGTCCACCCTGTCCGTCCATTCCTGCTGCCAGTGCAGCTGCACCTACAGCCAGCAGCGAGGACACAGTGTTCTCCTGTGCTCTGCTGCCTGTTGTGCAACACCCGGCTGCACCTCCCATAAACACACAACTTCCCATGACCACGACGCCAGGCTCCTGCCACACTGCACCCCTCTGCCTGAGACAAACTGGGCCCTTGGAGGGGTGCACATACAGGGGGTGCAGGTGGGCGAGGCCATGGCATCAGCAGGCTGCAAAAAACTGCTTTGATCCCCCAAATGGGCAATGGGGATCTGGGTACTGGGGGGAACAATGGATTTGATCCCCCCTGGGAAGGGAGCATCTTGCATGGGTCATCTAGCCCAGGACCATTGATTTGTGCTGCCACACACACGGAGAAAACCCATTTTTTCTACTCTCCAAGGCTTGAGAGATTGACTGATGTGGCTCTTCACTGTGAAACTGAGGTGGAAGGACTCCTCCTCATGCTCTCGAGGCAGATTAACACTGGTTATTTTTAGCAGAAGACAAGGATGAATAAAAATATCCCCTATTATTTTAAAATTTTTTTCTCTTTCAGGAACTGCTGCTCTTACCTCACACAAGGTGCTTGGGAGCAGCACAAGGCAGGGCAGATTTCTTGGCTTTGCTCCCTTGTTCCAGTGCAGGACAAGACTTTCCCCCAGACTCCCTGCCCTTTTGGGGCTGGGCAGAGGGCTGAGGCCGGACATGTTAAGCCAGCTGGACGGTGAGGGGGAACAAGCAGTACCCCTGGCAGCCGCCCCAAAAACGGACAGGATTATTTATGGAACAGATTTCCTCCAGGTTGTGTTACAGGGATGTGGGTGAACGGGGCAGACCCCAGCACTGGCCAAGTGGGAGATTTTGGACATCTCACCACCCAAGAAAGCAGAGTGAGCTGAGGGGTCCAGTGCTGATATAGCAGTGTCTTGGAAGATGTCTTTAAAAAAAGCAGCTCTAGTGCTTTCTTCCCATGTGTTTTGTGTGATTTTTTTGATGCAAATTTACTATTTTTGCAAGGTTTGCAAGGACAAACCAGGCTGAACCCCCTCACTGCTGCCATTGGTCCCACAGGATTTTTCAGGGCTTAGGTGTTATTTTGGGGGCCTGACAGAATTAAGCTATGTGGTTTTCTAATATTGAAAACACACAGTATTTTTTTTTTTTTTTTGGTAAATGGAAATGTTTAAAACCAAAATGCAAGATTCACCTGGGTCATTTTAGAGAAGGAAAAATGAAATGTTGTGAAAACAATTTTTTTTCCCCTAAAGTGGGCTTTAATTTTAACTGTATTTCTGATAAGTGACATCAGTGTCTAAATTACAGCTGGGGAAATTGAACTCAGAATACAGAGCAGACCTGTGAGAAAGCACCTGCCAAGGCAGTGCTGCCTTCAGCTTGGCCCTGGGGTTTTTTTTGGATTAACATGTGGGAATCAGGGTGCAGGTTGGGAGCAGCAGGGACTCATTCCAACACAAACCTGGTAAAAAAGGACACTTTATAAAGCACTCAGAGATGCCCCATTTTAAATCTGTCCCCAACTTTCTTTTGCACCTCTTTGCTCAGGCGCTGCAATTAGCTGAACGTGCACAAGCAGCGATGAGATGCTTAATTGCAAATGTACATTATTTCTAATCTCGGGGGGTATTTTGAGGCAGCTTTTAACAAAAATCTTATCTCCTTCATACCGAAGTGGAACATTTCTGCGTGTCCCAGCAGCCGGTGTGTTCTCCAAACCCACGTCCCTCTGTCCCTAACTGCGGAGACAAATTTTTCACTCTCTAGCACGGAATTTCCCATTACAAACCCCAAGGAGCTTGCAGGCGTTGGGGTACCCGTGGGGCGTTGTGGGGGGCTGGGGCACTTCTGGGGCATCGCACGGGGCTGGTTGTGTCTCTGGGGCCGGGGTGCCCTTGAGGAGCTCCTCTGAACCTGGTCCCCCGTTCTCCCCCGAGGGGGACAGCCCGGGGCTGAGGGAGCATTGGAGCACTTCATGGAGCCGACCCCCGCGGGCACCGCTCGGGGCCGGGACCCCGCGGAGCATCGCTCGGGGCCGCTCCCGCCCGGCTTCGCCGGCCCCGCCCCGGCAAGTGCGCGGGGGCGACCGGGGGGACCGAGCGGTCCGGCCCGTCGGGGGCGGGGAGAACGCCCTCATTTGCATATGCCTCCAGTGGAGCCAATGGGAAGGCACAGCGACCGTCCTGGTCGGGACGAGCCGGCGGAGCGGCCAATGGGGCGCGGGCGGGGCGGGGCCGCGGGCGCGGTGCCGGGAGGCGCAGCCGGGCGGGCGCGCGGGGTCACTCGGAGCCGGGCGGCGGCGGCGGCGGCGGCGGCGGCAGGTGGGTCCGGGGCGCTCGTGGGTGCCACGCGTTGGGCTGTGCGGTCCGGTGGGCAGTCTGTGTGGGGCTGAAGAAATGCCGTGGGTAAGGGAGGCGAAAGCGTGGGGTAGTGCGGTGTTGGGGAGAGGCATTCGTGGGGCCGATGGACCCTGCCTGGGGCTCCGTGGAGGGCTTCGGGGTCCCGCGTGGGGCTGGAGCATCGTGTGGGGAAGGAGATGGTGCCCTCAGCTCTTGTTGTGGGATGAGGATAGGATGGGGGTTCCCACCCCATATAGCCCCCTCCGTGCAGGGAATGCCCGAGAGAGTTAATGCGGAGGTGCCCGAAGTGTTGCTGGAGGCACTGGGGTGCGCTGGGTGGGGAAGGGACGGGGCTGTCATCATCTGTGCCAGCGAGATGGTGCTCGACGGAGGGCATTTTTCTTTTCCCCGCTTCACCTCACTAGACGAGGCTCCTGGGCGCAGCCGTAGGGTTTCCTCTAACACCACCGACCAGAAAGACCCTGCAGGGTGTGTGCATTACTATATAGCACTTTTGGCAGCAGGTATAAGTAGTTGCTCAAGGTAAATGTGATTTTTTTTTTTCTAACTTCTGCTATTTTTCCCTCTCTCTGGGCATACAAACTCTTTCAAAGCTTCTGTTTTTAAAATGAACGTTCGAGTGAACTTACTCTTCTCAGGAGACAGTATTTTACACAATGAGCTATAGGAACTTGTGGGTGCTGGTGCGAAAAACCCTTAAAAAATAAAGTAAAAAAAAAGGCCAGGAGCTGATACTTTATGGTTTTTAAACATAGAGTTTAAATAGTGTCTCACCATAATGGGCTATTAAACTGTTGAGGTGGATTTGGGATATCACTGGGGTATCAACCCCAGCCTGGAAACTGGCAATAAAAGTTAAAAAAGAGAAGTTGAAAGCACAGATCACTCCTTCCTTTAAAATGTGGGAAAGCTGTCTCCCTCTTGCCTCCTTCCCTGCCCTGTTGAAGGGCTGGGGAGAAGAAAATAATTAAATACATCTGGTAGAGCCTGTATCTGGCTTTTATGGGCTGTTTTCCTGAAGGTGTGGGTTTGATTTGGATGGCAGTGCTGCAATTTGGAGATACTTGGGTTTTATTTCCAGCCTGGTACCCTGGAGATGACTTGGATTTTATTTCCAGCCTGGTACCCTGGAGATGGGACAAAACTGCTGGAGGGGACAGAAATGCTGCTGATGGAGAGGGAACTGCTGCCAGGGGATGTACCAGGAGTGTGGGGTTGAGCAGGAATAACTTCCCAGTGGTGCTGAGAGTTTTGCAGCCCAAAGGTGGGATGCTGGTCTTTGGAGGCGTGCTAGTCCTTGGCCCTGCAGCTTGATGACAGCAACTTGTGTGATGCAGGAAGGGGAAGGCAAGGTTGGGATGGAGCTGGGTGCTCACAGGAGCCAGTGGTAGTGGGGTGCTGGTGGAGGAAGGGGTGGCCGGGGCTTTTCTGCGGGCTTGAGATGGTGGAGCAGGTGGGTCTTGTGCTAGGGAAAATATGTGGTGGCATCGAGAAAAGGAGATTTCTGGAGAGTTGGTGGAGAAGTAATTGCTTCTGCTGAAATGCATGGGGAGGGGTGACAGCATGTGGCCTCTGGTGGCTTCAAGTCTGGAGGATGGAGCGGGACTGGTGCTGGAGGGGGTCCAGTAGGGAAGGCTGGCATGATGGGGGCTGTTCATGGTGCCTATCCTACCCAGAGCAGAGGTGTCTGCTGGGATCACTGCTTGTGCAATTATTTTTTCTTCTTTTCTAAAAAAATAAAAAGAGATAATCTCCACTTCCAAGGTTGTATTTGCCCATGTTGAGGTCCTTTCCCAGCACTGTTAGAGCATCTTCCCACTGGGACGAGGCAGAAAATAAGGACAATTCCTGAATAAAAACCACACTGCATCCCTTGAGAACATCACTGCTGTGTAATTAGATATGTTTTAATTACCTGCTTGCAGAAGGAGAAAGTTTGCTGGAAGGTTTGAGATGCTCAGCACCAAGATTGTCTTCTGTCTGGTTGCAGCTCCCAGACTGCCTCAGGGGAAGAGTATTTTATAAACTAATTGGAGAATAATTTATCCTAAGTTATTTACCCTTTTATACTTTTTTATATTTTATTTTATAGTTACTCTCAGTTATATGTCTTGATATAAAATTGTTTTGGCCCCTTGAGGGAGCTACAGAACTCATACAGATCTTGTGCATATCACAGGGAAATAGCAAGTTACTTAGCAAAGGTTTTCTTTTATTTTAGTGATCTATGTTTGTGGGTGTACAGAAGTGGCCATGAGTGCTCTAATGTACAAGTTGTTCATGTAATTTGTTTGTCATGGAGCCAACAAGCTTTTTCCGTGACTAGTAATTGTTATTACTAAGGATTTCTGATTTTGCAAGTGAGTGTGTTGGAAAATTAGGAAAATAATACCAAAGTAACTGTCTGTGAAGAGCTGGGATGATGAGGGACTACAATTAAATCATCTTCTGCCTGCAATGTCCCGTCTTTGTAAATAGCAGTATTACTCTTAGATACTTAGCCTCATTAAAAATACTCTTATTTCAAGTACTTTTGGATTTATGTTAAATGTAATCACTTAATAAAATGAGCTCTAGGAGGCACCACCTGGCAAATAGCATCGTGTCTAGGATGTGACCCCCATCCCATCAAGGAGCCCTGGTGGGATGCAGAGCTCCTTTTCTACCCTCAAGTGATGTACAGGAGTGTGTACGTGTGCCCATGTGTGTTCATGTGCATGTTCTTGCTCCTCTGGGCAGGCAGGGGTCCGGGAGCCCTGGTGATGGTCCAGCATCATCCCCAAAGCTTCAGCGTCTTCAGCCCCCAACCCTCCTTCTGCCCAAGGGCTGACCCTGCCTGCACCTCGCAGTGTCCCCCAGTGACGGCCACCCTGGACCCCCTCCTGCAGTTTGTCCACTTGTGACGTTTCCTTGTCCTCTCCAAGAAATCCTGATTTGGCACAGGAACAAGCTGGTGTTTCACAACATGCTGGGAATTGCATTTTGCCCAAAATAATTTGGCATTTATAGACCGTTGGTGCAGATGGTCTTGTGTGCCGAGTTATTTCTGGGCGCCAGCACTGCTGGCAGCGATGCTGGATGCTGAGTCGGGGATCCCCCCTTGGGATTCGGCACTGGGCTCTCGAGGTGCTGCCGAGCCCTTGTGCATGGAGATAAGTGATTAAATACAGCATTTGCACTGCCAGGGGGTGCTGCCATTTGGGGTCACCTGGCTGATAGTTTCTTGGAGAAAGCCTGAAATCTGTTGCAAGCAATGAGATGCTTTTAGAAATGGAAAAAAAAAATCTAACTTTAATTGTCAGATTTATTCTGGAGAAAAGACTAAATCAAAACAGAATTGGCAAACAAGGAGTTTCTTGTTTATTCCCATTTTGTATTTATTTTAGTCTCCTCAAGCTGTCCCTTGAAATTGAATTTGCTCAGCATTGATGTAGCTGCTGCCAGGAGGCTGCTTTGAGTTGCTTGTGGAGGGCTTGGACTTCACCAGGGTGTGCTGTCTGGGGAGGGAAACTTCACATTTAATAGCCAGAGGTGAAATATTTCCTTCCAAAAAGCCTGGCTGGGTCTGTTCTCCCTGGTTGTTTGGACCAGGGGAGAAGACATGATTGATAGGAGCCTGCTTATTTTTGATGGCAAAAGACCCAGTTAGAGAGTGCCAAGGAGTGGGTAGTGGGATGTCAAGTACTTTCTCACATTTTACAGATGGTTTATGTAACCTTCTTGTCTGTATTATTATATTTTTTCCCATACAGTTACATAATCCTAATTTATGAAAGCTTTAGGAAATTGGATTCCCCACTGTGATGTGTCTGTATATAATGGCCTCTGAGCTTGTTAGGATGCAGCACTTGGCCCTTCTGCCAGCCATCTCCCAAGAAGCTCAGGCAGGTGTGGAATAGCTATTTATACATTTATTGTTACCGTATTTCCTTAATTATTTTCTTTTAGCCATCATCGAAAGCTGTGTTAGCCCCTCAGGAGGGGTGCAGGCTGTTGCCTCTCCCTGCTGATGCAGAGCAGAGGCTTTGCTGCTGGCTCCTGCATTCCTCTTTTTTCCAGTATTTTTGAAATCTGTTGCCTGTGGCAGAATCTTGCTGTGATTTTTGTGATGGGAGCAGCTGAAATCCATGCTGGGGCCAGGGATGGCTTTGGGGGCCAGGAGCTGTAGAACATCGATGTGTAAAATATCCTCAACTGCATCCTGTCCCTAGCACCTTCTTCCCTTGGAAGAGCAACAACCCATAAATGTTTATGGCTTTTGCTCTCCCCAGTATACATTCATCTTTTGAAATAAGGGAAGAAGAAAAGAAAATGCTGCCTTTTTTTTTTCCATTTCACATGAAAGCGAAAGGTGTTGTGTCTCTGGGTCCCCACACTGGAGGGGATGGACCACAGGCTGCCGATGGGATGCTCGCAAGAGAGTTCAAAGGAATTTTATCTGTGATTTTTTTTATTTTGAAGCAACCTGGAAAAAGCACCAAGCAAGCATTTCCTTGCTGTTGCCTTGCTAGGTAACTAGCAAAAGAGCCAGATTATTTTTAATGGGTTTATATTGTAAACTGGGAGGATAAAACCACCCCTCTCTGGAAGTCTTTTGTGTGTTGTTGGCATGGGCGTGTTTGCCTCACTCTGGGGGATGCAGAGAGACTGAACCCAACTTGCTTTCGCCTGAAATATTTTTTCTGGCAGGGATTAGTGACCCGTCCTGCTCACTTGTTCCTCTCGCTGCAGCTGAAATTGAGGGCAGCCTCTTATTTCACATATTTAAAAAAAAGATAGTTATGACTTGGATCTTAACTAAAACCATTCCAGAAGCTTAAAAATATTAGCTAGGCAGAATGGTTAAGCAAGTGTGATGGGAACATACACAGTTGTATTTAAGTTAGTTGCATGCAGTAGTTTTCTCACTTTGTTACTCTTCATTGTTTAAAACCCTTCCCTTGCTGCTGCTCTTCCGTTAATAGACTGATATGTTCCTGTTCCTGGGAGGTGATTGGTGACTGTGTCCCCCTCTGAGATGTCCCCATGGGATGGGTGGCACCGTTTTGCCTGGGAGAAGCTCGGGAGATACTGGGGTTTCCATGGGCAGAAGGTGTTAAACCTAGAGCAGGGACTGGCCGTAGATAAAGGAGAGCAGGGAGTTTGCTTCGGTCCCTAGTGAGTCAGGGCTCACCCTGGGCATGATGGAGGTTTGTTAGAGTGCTGGGCAATTAAAGCAGCTCTGTTTGCATTTTGGTTTTTCGTTTGAATAAAAGTTGCCATGCCCGGCCTGCTGGGATGTTGGCTGCTTGCACAATGTATGTGCTAGGAAGTAAATCGATCCTCGTGAGCAATAGTTTCAATTTTATGGCTTCCCTGTTTATTTTAAAGGAGGGAGGAAAAAGTCAAGTGGCCAGGATTAAAAACAAGAAAAAAAAGTTAATATTTAATTCAAGCTGTGATGTGTGAGTGTGAGAAATGGCACTCGATGTCTGGGTGCACCCTTATGTGTTGGGATGGAGCTGAGGATTACGTGGAGCTGCCTTGTTGGTCTTAAGAAGGTCGTATTTTGTTAGTAATCCCAATTTGAATTTATTATCACCATCTACTGGGTCTGTGCTCAGCAGGTTGGCATTGCAGGTGTCTTAAAACACTCTCGTCTGGGTAAAATCGCTGCTCTGGTCTTCCCTCTCCTGCTGCACAAGGACAGTTTGCTCAGCAAGAAGATATTTTACCCGAAAAAGTAATTCTTGTGATCAAAGGGGAACTGGAACCCCGGTGGGACAGTGGAGAGAGCCAGCTGCTATGCTAATTGGGTTGTTCTTCATTATCAGTCGGCAGGTGTGGTGGGGATGAAGGATGGAGGTGCAGCCCCATGCTGATGCCCAGCTTGAGGGGCTGGGATTCGGGGTGATGCTCACTAGCATTCATAGCCCATCTTCCTGCTATGCATTTAGCTTTGTTGGTTTTTAGCCTGACCTTTGCATTTTAAAGAAACTCCCTCCCGGGTTGCAATCTGAAGCTTTTAGGGCTGTTGTGGTGCCATGGAAGTGCAAGTACTTTGTGCTAAGTGAGTCTTAAAAAACTAAACGCCAGAGCAGCCAACTCTTATTTTTCCATCCTGCTAATTTTCATCCTAGTAAAAAAATTGGACCAAATATAGCCTTGGTTTATTTTTTAAAAGCAGATGGTAAGATGCTAAACACTGTTTGTGGAAACAGCAAGTCAAAACATCTTCCCATGGCTGCAATGAGCAGAGGAGCTGCCATAGGAAATTTTCACCATAGTCTCATCACCGCTCTCTGACCATGGTGGAGCATCATCTGTAGCTTGAAACTGCTGTCTCAGTTCTCCCTTCTTCTTAAATCCTGAAATCCTCTTTTAGAATACAGCACATGTGGTTTCTTTCCCCTCCACCCCCACCTCTTCTTACCAGGTGTTTTCCCACTGTGTCTCTGGGTGAACACCTCCCCAGACTCTCCCTGGACCTTCAATCCTTCTCCAGCAATTTCATGGTGGCAATGTAAGACCCCTCAAAACACTCCCCAGTCTTGCTCTTCTTCCTCCTTTTCCCCTTCTGTGAGCCTCTGAGATCTGCAACATGAAGTTTCCATTTGGAGCTGACAAATTCCTGGTATGCTGATTTCTAGGAAACGTGGCTTGGGATCGGGATCGTGTGGTTGGTGAAACCCTAACATGTGTGATACCTGCCTGTCCTCAGCCTGGGGTCAGACATCTGCATCCCATTCTCTGCTCTAAATTTTCACCCATTTCTCTGGATTGGAAGAGAGCAAACACCTGGGTGGAGAGGGAATTGTAAAATTAAATGGCTTGGTTTTATGACATGGATTTCTGTACTTCTCCTACCTGTCCATATTTATATCCCAGGGAAATGAAGCAGGAGGGAGGATGGTTTATCCTGGCTTCATTTACAGATGTACAACATTAACTTGTGTATAGTAGCAGCAGTGGGAGAGCAGAATCTGCTTGTTGTGTCAGAAACACCCATGGGCTTTTGTGCAGGGTAATTAATTAGTTCCCTCCCTATATCCAGAGTACACATGGTCCTGCAATGAGAAGATTCAGGCTCTGACACCACTAGCAAACTTGCTCAGCTCTCAGTGACATCCCTGTCTGCTTGGCATTTAAGTCTTGGGGAGTAGCAGATATTTCTTTTTGCCCTACAACTGTTTGTTTCAAATTAATTGGGATTTTGGACCCTAGCCAGCCTCCTTCTGTTGCTCCAAATGGGATATAAGTGGGAGCAGCATGCTCTTTTTTCTAACCTAGTTGGAACTGTTTTTGCTGGATGGAGAAGTCGTGAGCTCTTTTATAATGTGGACCACATCTTAATAGCTGGTCTTGTGGGCTCCATCCCTCCCACTGCTTCTGACGCAGAGCGTCTCCCCTCCCGCTCGCCTTGGCCAGCTTCCCTGGATGACTCCTCTAATTGCTTACGTAGAAAAATAATGAGAAGGATGTGTATGGTGTATTTTTAGATGTCTCTTGGTGGGATTTAGCAACCGGCAAGCCAGAGCCAGCACCTCCCCTTCCGTCTTCTGCATCCCAGCGGTGGCTGCTTGGTGGACCTTGGGAGATTCTGCCCCAGGAGGTGGCACTTCTTTGGCAAGCTTCTCCCCTTTTCAGGCTTCTCCTGGTCCTTAATAAATGGGTTATGGATGCTGCATCTGTGGTGATGCACAGGATCTGTGCCAGGAAGCCCTGAGCTGGTACACAGTGCCAATGGCATCCCCATGCCATGATGGGTGCCACTACCTCCTTGCTCATCTCCAAGAGGAAGGCCGTGGTGGTGGCAGGGCAGTGTGAACTGTGAGGGCTTGGAGACCATCCCAGCACCAGAATCATAGAATCATGGAATGGTTTGGGTTGGAAGGAACCTTTAAAGGCCTTCTAGTCCAACCTCCCCACCACAAGGGACATCTTGCACTAGACCAGGTTGCTCAGAGGTCTGCCCAAACTGACCTGGAATATTTCTAAGGATGGGGCAGCCGTCATCTTTCTGGGCAACCTGTGCCGGTGCTTCACCACCCGCATCGTCAAACATTTCTTCCAAAGTAACTGATGGCATGTTTTCCAGTATATAAGTACCTGCAAGATAGTGGATCTCACCACAAGTTGCTTTTTCAGTGTTTTTTTTTTTTTAAGATGTTCCCATCTGAAACCTTAGCAGAGCAGAGGAAAGTTAAATATCACCCTCAAGACTGTTGAGCATTGCAATAAGTAGTTCCCTTATTTTTCACTTTGCTTCTTCCATTGCAGGGCTCTTTGTGTCTCGGTGGCTTCCTGTGCTGGGGGGGGGGGGGGCTGGGCTCCAGTTCTTCCCTTTCCACTCGGGTGCAAGGAACACAATTCTTCTTGCAACATGACTTAGCTGCCCTTGGAGCTGAAAACATCCTTTCTCTGCTCTTTCTGAATCCTCCAAATGAATGATTTCTCTTGCTGGTTAACATCAGCTTCCACACCAAAGACTGTGGGAAAGTTTCACAATTAGAGTGACTTTAATAGATCTGGTTTATGTCTGAAAAAAACCATTGCTTTCCAATTCTCTGTCACATGTTTTCTTGATGACGTGTCATGCAGCAGTGCAGCTACTAAAATAGCCTTACAGTCTGAAGGAAATCATCAGGAAATATGTTTTTGAAACCATAAGCAATTCCTTTTTCACCAGGAACCATTGGAAAAAGTCTCTGTTTGATGGAAAACGTGGCTTTTCTGGCACCTTGGCTGCTTATGTGGTGGTGGTGGTGGGAGGACAGTGCTCCAGCAGTTTGTCCAAAAAACCTCAGTTCCTTAGATTCTTGCTGTGAATTTTCTCTTTATCCACCCAGATAGTTGAGATTCTTTTGGTGTTGGGTTTGCTTTGGTTTTTGGAGAAGATGCTTGCTGTGCATTGTCTTTCCATGAAGGGTGATAAACCCTTTCCTTTTACACCACCTTTCATGATCCTGCTGGGCTGATGGGGTGCATGCTGTGTCTCGCCAGGTCCAGTGCCTATGCCAGGAGACCATGACCACTGATGAGGCCACCAAGACGGAAGGGGAGGTGCAGGCAGTGGCCCTCACTGAGCGCGGGGAGGACATCACACCAGCTCAAGACCGAGGGGTTCTGAAGGTGAGGGGGGCTTCCAAGAATGTCCTGCCTTTCTTTCTGCATTTTGAGGTGCATGGTCACGTTGCTGGGCTGCATCCCCAGTCCTTGGGGTCACATAGTACTTTCAGGGTTGTAGGATTGAGTTCTTTCATTTGAAAGGCATCAATTGGAGTGAAGAAGGATGGGAGGGGTGTTTGAGACTGAGCTGCTCCATGAATTTCACTGCCATTGTGTTCCTAATCAGATTATTAGCTGTAAATCCACAAAGAATTTTTGTATGTGACTCACAGACGTTAGAAAGAGCACATTACTGAGGTCATCCAGTCTGCTCCACAACCCCTTTTCATATTCAGAGCCATTTCTGGATAGATCTGCTCCCCAGTGCTTGCTCTTCTCCAGTTAAATAGCACCTTTCCTCTAAGAATAGCATCCTCCCCTGCTCCATCCTCAGCTTGAGAACTGCTTGTTCCAGGCTGTAGCATTCAGAAAAAAAGAAGTGTTGACAAGAAGTGAGTAGTGAACAGACACACCCCTGCGAGTAAAATGCGTACGGACAGAAGGTGAACGTAATTGCATTCACTTTGGGTTTCGAACCACAGTGTTTATCGAGACGCCTCCGCAAAGTACGGGCAGGTCTCTACTCCCAGCCCTGTCCCACTCCATTGTCATGGCTCTGGTTTGAGATTTATTTTTAGGGGCTGATGGAAGGATGAATTGAATGACTCCCACTTGAGCCTTCTGTTTGTTTAGAGCGGCACTGTGGTGTATATGCATGTGTGTGTGTATATATATATATATATATGTTTATGTAAATGCATGTGTGTGTGCGTCTCTCTCTCTCCTTCCATACGTATCCTCAGCTGTCCTATGGCCCCTGCTTATGGGTGGTTTCTCTCTCACAGATCATTAAGCGACCTGGGAGTGAAGATGAGTCTCCCATGATCGGGGACAAGGTTTATGTCCACTACAAAGGCAAACTGGCCAATGGTAAAAAATTTGACTCCAGCCGTGATCGGAATGAGCCCTTTGTCTTCAGCCTGGGCAAGGGTGAGCTGGTCCAGGGAAGTTCATCCATGGGGATGCTGGAAGGTGGGATGATCCCAGTAGGAGCAGGTGGGATCATTCTGGTGGGATCAACTGACCCTGTTTCAGTACAGATGGACGATGTCAGCCCTGCCCTAAGTAGCTTGGGTGTATGGGCTTTTTTTAGGTGCCATCCTTACAGCACTCGGGCTATTTTTTTTTCTGGGCTGCTGGTTGCTCCCTCCTGCCTGACATTTGCCTCTCTCCTAGGTCAGGTAATCAAGGCATGGGACATTGGGGTAGCTACCATGAAGAAGGGAGAGATCTGCTACTTGCTCTGCAAGCCCGATTATGCATACGGCTCTGCTGGCAGTGCCCCCAAAATCCCCTCCAATGCCACCCTCTTTTTCGAGGTGAGTAATGCTGGTGAGCTGGCGCATGGATGAGCTCACTCGCTCCCTTCCTGCCTTGCTAACCAGCTTAGAAATAATAATAATAATTTAAAAAAAACAAAAAACAACAACAAAAAACCTAGCTTGGATTCCTGAAGTGTGTCTCTCTGCTCCAGGAACTGCTGCCAAGGTTTTCTCAGAAATGTGTGTCTGAGCTGGGAGGCTGGGACTGAAACTCTGGGTGAGGAGAGCACCGGTGCTGGGGCAGGGAGTGGGCAGATTCCTGGTTTAAACATGTACAGGGGAAGGAGAAAGCAGGTGGGAAATGCCTCCAGGTGCTAAAAAATGATTAGTGCTGTCGAGCGGTAGGAAAGCCACATTTTTGGCACAGTGTGGTTGCTGAGACAAGGCATTCCTCCTGAGCTGGGCTCGTTGGGACAAGGCAGGAGGAATGGGTCTGTCCTAAATTAAGGCTTAGTCTTTCCAAGTCGAGTGTGGACTAAGCTGTGGGTTGGAGTTGGTCCCATCAGAGGATGAAGGGGAAACTCCTGCCTAACCTGGTCCCAGGCAACTTTCACAGCATCTTCCAGCAGTAGCTGTGTTGTACCCTTACAGGTTTAATACATTTATTTTTACTGTTACTTTGTGTTATGCTTCAGGTACTGGATGTGCCCCAATTTCTAATAAATTGTGTGTGTTATGCTGTGGTTTGGAGCTGGATTTTATGGACAACTTCTGCTTCTCAGCTGAATGGAGAATACGCTGGCTTGGTTCTCCAGCCGGAGGATGAACTGCTGCTTTGTGGCTTTGATTTTCCCTTCTCCTTCCCCCCTCCCTAAGCTCTGCCCACTTTTTCTTTATTTTTTTTAGGTTGAGCTGCTTGACTTCAAAGGCGAGGACTTGTTTGAGGATGGAGGAATAATCCGAAGGATCAAGAGAAAGGGGGAAGGTTACTCCAACCCTAATGAGGGTGCCACTGTGGAGAGTGAGTGCTAGTGCCTTGTAGGGGAGCTGGAGGGATCAGCCTGTCCTAAGCCATTCCACTTTCTTCTCCCTGGCAAGGACCTACTGTACAGGCTGTAGGTGGCTATGCATCATGATAGGATGCAGTTACATCCATCCAGAGGCCAGATGGGGTGGAAAGGGGCTGGGAGAGCAGCAGTGTACTGCTGACCCAGGGATGCACCTCTGAGCTCTCCTTGGCTGGTCCCTGTGATGGCTCTACCAGAGCTGCTGCCCTAGAGGGCTGATTGGAAAACCCTGAGCCCAGAGCTGCTCAGCCAGCATCTGTGGGGAGGATGGAAGAAGCAAAGCCCATGGGGTTTCAGAACTCTGCCATTTCCCCTGACCCTTTTGCATCTCATTGCAGTGTCCAAGATGCTCTGTGATGTGCCATCTGCCAAAACCCCTGGCTCTGCCTTGCCTCCAAAGCATCAGTTGCCAGGCCTTCCTCCCTTCATGGAGGAACACACACTTGCTAAGTGTTTTGGGCAATGATACAGGCGCTTGGCACCTTCTTTGGCCTCTTTGTTCCAATGTTGATGGTATTTTTGGTGGGTTTTATCGCATCTCTTGCAGAACGGGGCCTTTTCCTTTCCCTATGGCCAGAGGGCTGCTCATGGGGGGGAAGGAGATTATTACAAGGGGGTTGCTTGTAATAAGGGTGGTTTCAGCTTTTGTGGGAGGATGAGGAGCTCAGGTCCCATTGGGCTCTCCCTGTTCTGATCCCATTTCTGGAGCAGATGTTTCATGAGGCTGGAGAGGGGAAGCCAGATTTGGATTTTGGTTTTTTTCTTTCCCAAGAACCACTGGGACACAGACCCAGAGCTTGCTTCATATGGGACACATTTAGGTTTTTTCTCACTTCCAGAGCTCCTGTGCAAAGATCCTAAGTCCCTTTAGCGACTGAGAAATTGAATCTGAGCTGTGACAGCTTATAAAGCTTGCGGCCTTAAATGGCCAGTTCTTCTAATGAGGCTTTTTTTAAGGAAAAATGAAGTTTTGACTCAGATTTGACTGTCTGCCTCTCCCGTGCTGAGCATCCTAGCTGTGGACCAGCCACAAGCTAAGCTTCAAGCTGGCTCTGCTACCCCAAAGATTAAACTGAAAGACTAAATATAATTGAAATCATCACAGATCCAGCTCTCATCTTTATTTTGATTAGGTCTGAGCTCTTTAAAGACAGTGCTGTGCTCAGTGGGGAGGACAGGAAGAGCACTGGTCCTTCTGTAGTTGTTCCCTTTGCAGCTTGAGGTTTTTTGGAACGTGATGATGCTCAGGCTCAGGCAGGGGCTGGGGGGGGCGGGGGAGGTCATCAGCCAGGAATCATCTCTTTGAAAGGACATAAGGAGCCAAATAACAAGTCTCTTCATACACCAATGTCCCACAGCCCATTATCCTTGCTTTACTTGTTTCAAATTAATGTGTCCATTGGAGCAAATGCCGTGAGCAGGAGCACGTGTGTCTCAGAGTCACGGAGGTAGATGCCCTGCCAGGCCATCCTGCGGAGCCAGCGCTGCTCGTGTAGGGCAGGGATGGGGAATGCTGGGCTGGTCCCTGTGGCAGCCCACTGGCCCTGCCAGCCTTTCTGGTCGTAGCTGCTGTGGCCCCTAATTCACTGAGACCTACACATCCTTATATGTTCAGAGCCCTGAGACTACTTTAAATACATCCCCGTGAGACAGGACAAGGAGAAGGCAGCCTTGCAGTGAATGCTTTGGGTGCAAATAGATTTTGTTGGTTGTTTTTTTTTTTTGCAACAAATGCAACTCTGTTTATGGTGGGCACTATGCTGGGGATGGCACAGCAGCTGTGGGGACAGGCAGCCCACCCTGGGATGAGGCTGTGATCCAGGGGGGCAGCGATGGTTTCCCTCAGCTGTGTATTTGGGAGGTGCTGGAATTAGGCTGGAAGAAACCATGCTTCCAGGAGCAAGTATCTCCAGGTTTTTATAGGTTTTAAGTTTTATAGACCTTAATTCACAGTTCTGATCTCTAAAACCTGGGCTGCACTCAAAATCTGTCATTCCAGCTTTTGTTACATCCTTTCCCCCCACCCCTCCTCCTTCTCCGTTTTTAATCTGAGTACAAATTGCTGTCAGCACATCAAGTTCGTGTGCCAGCCACACTCAGTACACTCTGTTCTCAGCTCTTCAAAAACAAAATCGCTGCAGGCACTGAGAGAACAATAAGTCAGAGCTGCAACCAGAGTGATGTTCCTTCAGTGGCTTTTTTTTCTCTGTAATCCAAGAGCAACTGCAACCAGCTGACCTGCTCCTGGAAACCTGAGTGGAGATTTTCCCCCCTTTGCTTGCCTTATTTTATGTGCAATTAAAATAGAGAAAAACTGTCCTTGAAAGGGAGGATCATGGCATCTTCTTGTGCATCCTACTCTAACATGGGATCTTCCTATTGCTGCCACGTCCCACAGAGGGTGTGGAACTTGGGAGGGCTGTAGTGCTGCTTTTGAGGTCAGGGATTATGGATCTGTACTCCCTAGGAACATGCAGGGAGATGGCACAGTGCTGTGGGGTTGCTGGGTTACCTGTATTTTAGGCAGAACTTTTCAGTTTTCCTATGCCTAAGGAAATAGCCAGATTGGTATTGGGTAGTGCAAAAGCAGAGGTTGACTCTGTAGGAGCTGGATTTGCCTTTTGTCCTCATCCCAAGATGGGTGAGCTCACACCAGCCTGAGCCTGGTGGTCACTGTGCACCAGTGTGGATGCAGGATGCGTCCTGGGAAGCTGGCGTCCTCTGCTCCTCCACGCTTGAGTCCTAGCATGGCTTTGGTGGCAGGAGCTAAAGGGTTGAACCTGCCATAGGAATGGGGGACTGCCTGTGGGCTTGCTTGGTCCGTGTGTCTCATACTGGGGACTTCCTGTAGGCCCCAGGGCAGGGCAGCATCGTGAGGTGGAGATGGGTGGGTTTCCTTCAGCGCAGGCTTCAGCTGTCCAATGCAGAGCCCAGATCCTCATGGCTGTTTCTGGTAGAGTGCCATCTTTGGCTTGTCCTGCTGCTCACCTCCTGCCACCACAGTGGGATGGTCACTGCCCTGTAGCATCTCGGGTAGCATCCTGCTCTCTCTGAGCAAAGATTAGGCTCACGTCCTTGCAGGCCACAAAATCTCTAAGCACAGTTGTGACAACAGGAATGCCCATTGTGAATTTTTCCTCTTAAAAAGCTTTTTTTTTTGTTTCACTTTTTTTAACAGTATGCAGGAGTTCCTTGTAAAACTGCTTTTACTTTGTGCCTGCCTGCATGTGTATGCCTTGTACCCTGCAAGCAGAATGCAAAGATTGTAAAAGCGTCCCCAAGGCCTGGAACATCTTCAGGATTGAATAAATAAAGAATAATCTTGCTATGGAAACACAGCCAGGAGTGCCAGGTGGTGGATGTGCCAGGTACCCAGTGTCCGCTCTGGCTGCACTTCTGCCAGCGTCTGGGGCTGGAACAGCACAGTTACTGGTTGAAGATTAAAAATAAAAAGTTTATCTTGTACTTTGAGTTCTGAGAGTCAGGAGAACATGGCCTTGTTTTCGAGGTAGAAGTCAAGGCAGTATAGTGCTGTATAGAAGATTTGTAATCACCGTGATAAACTCTGTGTGGCAGTGTGCCAGGAGCAATATCCAGTTCCAGTAAGACTTGACTCGTGCAGTTGAGTACAAGGGGAACATATTAGTCACGATGTTTATCTGTTGTTTGGTCCTTGGTTAGACGAGATATGCCTGCCTTGCTTTTCAGCAATGTTCCTAAGCTGTCCCTATCCCTCTCTGCACCAGGAGGTCCTTGGCTGCCCCCAGCCCTTTGTCTTCCCTCTTCCAGGGCTGGAGGCTTTGCTGGATTTTGGGAGAGATAAAATACTTTCTGATGTTTTGGAGCCCACATTGCTCCAAGGTTTGGGTAACTGTGGGTGTGATCCTGCCACATTCCCTCTTGTCCCCCTGCAGTTCATCTGGAGGGATTCTGTGGTGGCAGAAGGTTTGACTGCAAAGATGTGAAGTTCATTGTGGGCGAAGGAGAGGACCACGACATCCCCATCGGCATTGACAAAGCCCTGGAGAAGATGCAGAGGGGAGAGCACTGTATCCTCTACCTCAGCCCACGGTAAGGATCATCCCTGCAGGGATGCTGTGTGGGTTTCAGCTTCCAGCATTGTTTTAGCACTTATGGAAGATGGCTGTCCTGAAAACAGAACTCTCCAGGAGAGTTGCAGTTTAGCAATGCCAGCAGGAATAGTAAGAGAGACTAGTGGTGTGCAGACAAGAATCTTGAGATGCTTTAAAAAAATCAGGTAAAAGGGCTTTATCCAAGTCCAGTGTCTGATGTCTCCCTGGAAATTGCCAGGGCTGGGTCCTTAGGCTGGAGAGAAGCCTATGGAAAAAGATGGCTTTGCAGCCAGAAGGGCTGATTCCCAATATATAATGCATTGTATATTGTCAGGTATCTTTGCTCATGGAGAATAACATAACCCTGGCCTCAAAATGTTAGAAAGCTGTGGGCAGGGAGCTTGGATGTGAAAACAGAATTGGGAACCTGGGCCTGCGTTTATGGCCAAGGGCTGCTGAAATGAAGGGTTTACCCCTGTCCTCTGACTGCCTCCTTCTGCCCTCCAGGTATGGCTTTGGCGAGGCAGGGAAGCCAAAATATGGCATCCAGGCGAATGCTGAGCTGGTGTACGAGGTTACACTGAAAAGCTTTGAGAAGGTGAGGGCAGAGGCATGCTGGTCCCTTCTCAGATTACAGGAATGTTGGGCCCTGTGTAGCATCCAGCCTTTGTCCCTGGTGTGTCTGCAAGCCTGACCCCCGCTGAAGTGGACACGTCACCAAGGAGCTTCGTGTTCTTAATTTGTTCTTCTCTGTTGGTTTGTTTTATTCTTGTGGCTGGGGTCCAAGGCTGGGTCTCTTATTTGTTTCTAGGCTTGTCCTTTTGTACTTTCTTTTTCTTTTATTTCTCCTTTTCCTTTTTCCTTTTTTCCTTTTCTCCTTTTTTCTCTTTTTTTCTCCTTTTTTCTTTTTTATCTCCTTGTTTCTTTTTTCTTTTTTTTCTTTTCTTTTCTTCCTCTTTTTTTCTCCCCTTTTTTTCCCTGGGCTCCACAGATAAGAGCTGGTGCATCCAGCCAGCTAGCCCTGAGGAGCTTGTCTGTGCCCGTGAGGAGCCTGGGAATGGGATACAGGAGAAGCCCATGGGATGGGGCAGGTGCTGCTGTGCCGCATCCCTAGATGGGTCCCCTGCCATCGCCCTGGCTGCAATAGGAGCAGAGTTGGCTCCTTGCTCTGGATATGGCCCTGGTGAGCCCTGAGCATGAACAGGCTGTCCCAGAGAGTGGTGTGGTCCTGCCGGGGGAGGGGGGCTGCTGCACTCCCCTGGGAGTGCTCCAAGCATTCCTTTGCAGGCCAAGGAGTCGTGGGAGATGGACACCAAAGAGAAGCTGGAGCAGGCTGCTGTCGTCAAGGAGAAGGGCACAATGTACTTCAAGGTTTGTGAACTTGGGGATGACAGAGGTGAAGGAAGGGAGCTGGAAATTAATTTGGGGTGACATCAGATGCATGACTTGGCAGCCGTCAGTGTCAGAGAAACCATGTGCCCCCAGACAGTGCTGGGGAAGGCAAGTCCTGCCCTCCCTCTGTCTTTTGCTCACTCCTTGATGCTCCCCAAGATATCTCCTCCTTTCCCAGTGTTTCCTTGGCTGTATTTGCTCCCTGAAGAGCAGGACAGCAGATTGAACCCTTCCTGGGCCAGGGCTAATGCTGAGAGGCTTTAGAGTTCCCTGTCACAGCTGGGGCATCCCAATCCTCCCCACTGCTCTGACTTGGCTTTTCCCAAGCCTGCTGTTTTTGTAGGTGTTCAGCATCCTCCTCCTTTCATTTACTTACTGAACACACCACATTACACTTGTTACCTGTTGTGAGATGTTGCGGGAGCAGATGAGTGTTGTCGCTTGGGTTCCTCTAGCCTCTTCTTTGCTCCATCCCAGGAAGGCAAGTACCTGCAGGCAGTGATTCAGTATGGGAAGATTGTGTCCTGGCTGGAAATGGAGTATGGCTTGTCTGAAAAAGAGTCAAAAGCCTCTGACTCATTCCTCCTGGCTGCTTTCCTCAACTTGGCCATGTGCTACCTGAAGCTGCGAGAGTACGCCAAAGCTGTCGAGTGCTGTGATAAGGTAGAGGTGCATGAGCCCCGGGGATGGAGCATCCTCTTCTCCTGCTTGTTTTCATTGGGAGTTCGTTGGGATTTTTTTGATTTCTTTTCATATAAGAAGCAATTTCCAAACAGCAATGGGATGATGGCATCCCTTCCGCACCTCGAGGTCTCCATGGATGCTGTGTGCTTAGGACCAAAAGTGCCCTTTGGGGTTCAAAATCCACCTGGACGTGTGTTTACAACAGCTTTTCTTCCTAAGCCAGATCCATGAGACTGGATCTGCGTAGACTGATGACCTTGGGGTGCTGTTTAGATCTGCTCAGGCTGGGTCTGGGCACTGAGTTCTGCTCTGGGTGTGACAGAGGCAGGCTCTGTGGAGCTGCAGTGGATCTCCAAGCCAGTTGAGGAGTGGGATGGGGCTTTGCCAGTCCCTAAAAATCTTTGTCTTTGTCAGGAAACTCTGAATTCTTTTATAAAAGGCTTTAATTTAAGCATCTTGCATGTGGGAAAGCTAATAAAGCTAGTTGTCTTAATCTAAAAGGTAAATCATATCTGAGGTGCATATATGGCTTTTACTAAAGGAAAATAATGTCATTGCTAGAACAAGGAGACTAAAGGGCTTGGGTTGAGTGTTTACACCTGATTTCTTGCCTGTGAATTTGTCTCCCACTGACTGTCACACTCAGGGGTATTTTAAGCAAGGAGAAATAAAAATCTATATTAGTGACCTGCCATCTGCTGATGGAGAAGAGGTAATTTTTGTTGAGTAAGATGCAAGTGCTCTGGAGACTTGAAGCCACCTTCTCCTAATTTTGACAGATTTAACGAGGCTTTGACCATTAAATTTTTGGGGGGAGCTCCAGGGTGCTAAGGGGACTTGTGTGTTTCCAGGCACTGGGACTGGATCAGGACAATGAGAAGGGCTTGTACCGGAGGGGCGAAGCCAGGTTATTGATGAACGAGTTCGAGCTGGCAAAGTGTGACTTTCAAAAAGTGCTGGAAGTGAATCCACAGAACAAAGCAGCAAAATCTCAGATCTCTGTGTGCCAGAAGAAAACGAAGGAGCACAATGACCGGGACCGGAGGATCTACGCAAACATGTTCACAAAGTTTGCAGAGAGGGATGCAAAGGTGACTGTTGCCCATTTTTGGCCATCTAGCAGGCTGCACTGAGGGATGCTCGTCAGGCTTGTGATGAGAAGAGATGGGTTAAACCAAATTGAATTATAGATCAGGCTGAGGATGGAGGGATAGAGCCTGCTGCAATGGGAAGAAGCATTTTACTTCTTGGTCTCTTTTGTGCAGACGCTGCCATCAGATGCTCAGTCATCAATAAAAGGATTTGCAGTGTGAGCTCACATGGGCTGATAACAGGGTCAGCATTGGTCCTTAATTTTGCTGTTCCCAGCTAGTGACTACTGATGAACTCCTGATCTCCAGTAAAATGAAATATCATTCCATCTCTGACAAGGCCAAGGGTATTTTGAGACATGATAGTATGGATTTCCTGAAGTTGGTAAGGCAATAGCCTGCTCCTCTGCTCATATGGAGAGATCGCTGTCTCGTAACAGGCTCTCATCCAAAATTCCACTGGAAACCTGGTGTACTGTAATGAGAGAGGACACAGCTTTGCAAGCTATCTGTGTGGGTAATTTTTAGTATAAGCTCTTCTGAACTGGTGCCTGGAGGTTGAGGCTGTGGATTAAGTGACCAGTGCAGACTCTGGGGAGCAGCATGCTGGGGCAACTGGCTTGGGCAGGGCGTGGAGCTGCCCTGGCCATCTGCTGGCACTGCGGTTGGCTTGTGCAGCTGGTTGTGACAGGAAGAGGCACTGCTGGAGCAGGCATAAGGCTTCACTGTGCCTTAGTACTCCTCTCCTGCACCCACTGGATGGGTTGCACCCACAGTTGGGTGGGTGGCCTGCAGCCATGACCAGGTGTACATGCTACACCTCCAGCTGGGTGGACAGGCTGCACCTGTGACTCCACTCCGATGCTACTGCCTTACCTCCTTGTCCCTCTCTTCTGTGCCTCTGCACCCATCTGTCCAGGCTCACTCCATGTCAGTGCTCTGCTTCTGTTGAGGTGGGTCACAATCGTTCCCAGGGATCCCATACCTTCCCCAAAAGCTGGCTGAGCTGGTGAGGTTTAACCTCTACCAGCCACTGAGAAAACAGGACCCTCCAGTGTAAGCTGCGGTATTTGATAAGCATGGGGGAGCTGTTGGGGACAATTTTGCCTGCCCTTCCAGGCTTGACTGCCTCTGCCTATCCCCAGCATCACTGTCACCTGCTTGCTTCTTCCTTTTCCTGTTTCCAACTCACTGTGCTTTATTTGCTGTTTGGCAGGAAGCAGCTAGCAAAACCGGGGTGGAAAGAGTAGCAGAGAAGGCAGCTTGCGAAAAAGGACTGAAAACTCCTGGTGCTGAAGATGAAGAGGCTGAAGGACACGTATGATGGAGGAGGAGGGGATGGGAGAGCCTCCTGCCCTTGGCCCACACAGAAAAAGGTTTCTGCCAAACCTTGGAACTTGCCAGTGTTTTCTTGTAAAGCTTGTTACAGTTAGTGTGATTGTGAAAGCAAAAAGAGCTCCGCAAAGAAAAACAAACCCTGTCCTACCGCCTGGGTGCGCTCGGGGACAGACCAGGAGCGGCGGAATGCCAAGGGACCACCGCACGTGGAACAAATAGCTTTTAAAGAGCAAGAAAAAGAAAAAAGTAATAAATTAAAACTCTTACATCTTGGGACGTTTCCATAGACAGCTTTTCCCAGCTCCCTTGGCTTTATATCCACTGTCAGCACAGCATCCTGGGTGCTCTGAGATGCGCTGGGATGTGGGACATACTCCTTGTACGCTGCAGTGCTGCCTCTGGTTGTATCCGGTACACGACCGGGCTGCACCGCCCCGGCGCCAGCCCTGAGCACGCAGGGCAGCGCTGAGTCACGGGCACGGGCACGGTGGGAGCCCAGGGCTGGCTGACAGGGACGTGGCCCCCGGGGCTCTCTCACCCATGGTGGTTGGCTTTCTCTCCTGCTGAATTCTTGCCTGTGGCCAAAGGGGTTGCAAAGCGGAGCCAGGCTCGATGTGAGGACCCACATCACCTCCACTGCAGCCCCTCAGTGCAGGGATGTAATTTGTCAAGCACTGTTTGGGGAAGGGGGGACACAGAGATTTTATCTTCTGAAGAAGCTGGTTTCTATTTCTTTAGAGAATAAAAGCCTATCCAGGTTTGCAGGCACTCAGCCTGCAGCCTGCACCCCATCTCTTGGCTCCCGACTTCAAATGGGAGTTTTATTGCTTATTTGGGATCCATACCTAGAGAAAATAAAGAACAGGTTGACATGTGGTTCAGAAGGCAAGTGACTGGGTCTGAGCTGGTACCATGGGTTTGTAGCTTGTCAGTGAGCTGCTTTCCCATGGTGAGGAGGTGCATCGTGTCCTTGCACCGATATTGCTGCCTCCTCAGCCATCAACCCTCTCCATCCTAAAGGGATGCTGTCACTTCTGCGTGAGAACAGCTGTCCAGTTGTTATTTTTCCTGTCTCTTTGTAATATGCCTTTTGGAGCTTGAAAATAAACAACTGAAATTAAAAAAAGAAGTATTTTTTTCTGGATCCTGCTCAGCAAAGAAAGTGGCTGTGGGGAGGATAGGTGTGTACTCCCCAGATGGAGATGCCCCAGCAATTAAGAAATTATTGGTGTCTCCAAAGTCTGATGCTGCTGCCCCTTTTTATCAGTGCTGTCATTTACTGGAGAGCCAGTGAAGGGCCAGAATGCTGTGCTTTGGAAAGTCCTGACTAGGGGATGCTCTTTGGGGGTCTGCTGCTCCAGCTGCTCATCCAGGTCTCGGGTTTTCCACCACCCTGGGATGTCCTAGAGCCAGCAAAGTATCCCTGGGGGTGCTGCCCAGGGAAGCTGCTGTGAGACCCAGGGTCTCTGAAAAACATTTTTTTTTCTTTTTTTTTTTTTTCTTGCAGGCAGGGCAAAAAAGTCCTTTGGGGGCAGCCCAAGCCACATTTTCCATAGGAAACAATCTCTACCAAAAAAAACCCAACTCACTTTGTGGTTTCCGGGCTTGCTTCCCGTTTTAAAGGAGATTTTTTATGTATTTTAGCTTGGTGTTTTTCTATCCCTTGGAAAAGAAATTAAACTTATGTGGGTGATGTGATGTGATTTAAAGGGAAACCAGGAGGATATTGTACGGAGACATCGGAAGTTTGCAGTGCTGGTGGGTCTCGGTGTGCGGTGCTCAAATGCCATCTAGTGGCACCGGGCACGGCGTGGCGGGGGGGTTGGGGTGTCTGTGGTGGGCGGGGCAAGACCAGGGGTCCGGTGGAGACGCTTGGCTTGTCCGGCTTTGCAACCGAACAGCATCTGCGGGGGCCTTTGAGAGGGAATATTAAGAACAAAATATTAAGTAGTGTAATAACGAGGTGAGGTGTGAGCTGCAGGGCGTGAATCCCATCACCCAAAGAGACCTGGGGACATGGACAGGGGTCGAAGGAAAGTGGTGGTCCGTATGGAAACCCTTAGCACTGCCTGGAGCCAGGGATGTTGCCTACCCCTGCATGGGCTTTCCATGCACAGCTCACACAAACCAGTCCAAATCCTGCTATTCTCTCACCAAGAAGACTTTTTGGGTGGAAAAAAAAATAAAAGAATATCCAGGGAGGATAACCCTAAATACAGTCAGACAGCATTCCTCTGCCCACACCAGACTGGAGTGAGTGGCTCTGCTGTGTTGGGGACCCCACCCAGCAAGGGAGGAGCTGTGCACCCCCTACATTCCTGCAGAGCCCCCTTTTCCTGTAATTACTACCCTGCCAGCTGCTCTCCCAGCAAGCCTGGCTGACAGCCCCTGAAATCCTATTAAGTGAGTTTCAGGAGAAATAAAGTTAATCATCTCCTTCACCTGCTCTTACTCCTCCTCCTTCTCCTCCTCCCACCACAAAGGCTTGTGGAGGTGGCTGAGCCAATGCTGTAAGAGCGCTCAGACTATTGTAGCTGTGACTGACCCCATGGATCTGGTCCTGGGTTGGTAGGGGCTGCAGCACCAGAAGGTCAGCAACTGGTGCCAGGCAGGAGGGGAGGCAGTCGGGGCAGGACAGAGGAAGCGATGCCGTTGCAGACGGAGATCCTGCGCGAGGTCTGGGCTGCGGACAGGTGAGTGCCACGGGGCAGAATGTGACCTGTGGGGGGGATGATGTGCTGGCTGTCCCCACCAGACTCCCATCTCCTCCAGTGCCTTTTTCTCCTATTTTCAATTTAAATGCAATTTAATGAGCAGTTTTATCAGAGTCTTTTTGCTTCAGGGGTTGCTGTGATGATGCTCATTGACTTACAGAGAGGAAAAGCGTTTGTTAGAGGGGAATCCCCAAATTAACCTCCTTGCTGTCACCCTTGGCCAAGTCAGAGCCTGTTCTGTGCTCCCCGCTAGGAAGGATGATGTCAGACAAGCTTGACCCAGTCGAGACAGGGGAAAATGCTTCTGGAGCCACATGAAAGGCTGACCTTTCCCCCTTCACCAAAAATTGGGGCAGTCTCATGCTCCCCAGGGTCTGTAGAGGTCTGAAAGCCCTCACCGCTTTGCTTTCTGTGCCCCACAGTCCCAGCGAGGAGCCAGGGAGCCCCCAGCAGCAGAAGCCCAAACAGGTGAGAAAAAATCCTTCCCCTCCATCCCATGTGCTACTGTTCCCTGCTGCGGGCTGTCCTCAAGGGCTGGAGTCATCAGAGACCCTGGAGCCCCACACCAAGGCTGACTAGGGGCTGGATGGGCTCTCTATTGGGGTGCTGCAGCCCAGGAGGGCACGAGGTTTTTGGGAACCCTCTTCAGAGCAGGTGGGTAGAGAAAATCCCACAGCCCTCCCTTCTCCTTTGTGCATCCTTCTGAACCCCCTTTCCATGACTTTGAAGTACCCCATGTGGCAGTTTCCTAGTTCCTAGTTAACACTTTAATTAAGCCCCTCAGTTAAGCTGTCAGCTGTGACTCACTTTCCTCAGGCTGTGACCCTGAAAGCCAGACCCCCTTCTTGCATTTCGGCACAGCCCTCACGTACCACCCGACCTTGGAGGGGTCTCAGCGGCAATTTCATCCACCACCCAATTTAATCAGCACCCCCTCCTCAAAGGACTTCATTAAGTAACGAATGGCTGTCCTTCCTGCAGCTGCTTAAGGGATTAGGGGATGTGAAAGAGCTTTTCAGTGTGAGCTGCTGACATGGAAGAAAACAGCTGGTTCCCAGCTTCACTGTGGGACTCCCAGCTCCCCCTCCCCAAATTTGCAGTACTGGGATCCCACTGGGATCTGTCTGGATCACACCTTTTGCAAAACACCTTCACCCAGCACCCTGGAGCATCTGGGAGGAACACAATCCCTATGAGGGGAAAGATGCTCTATTAGGTAGTGGAAGCTCTAGAGCATCTGGATTTGCTTAGATTGCCTTCTGAGGGCCCTGAACTGATACCCACTCCCCAAATACCTCCTTTCCAGAGCCAAGTGCTGACCCACATGCTCTGTATTTGGTAAATCAGGGTTATTTATAGCCCAGCTAACTGGGATTAGGTATGCTGTGTCTAATCCTCCTGCTTCCTTGCTCCTGCTGACCTCCATCCCAGCAAGGGATGCAGCTCCTTTTGCGGGGGTGAGAGATGGAGGTGAAGAGCAAAGCTGTCTGCCCTTCCTCGTGTACCCTGTCCCGGCTCAGGTACCCAGAGTGCCCATCAGTGCCCAGAGTGGCTCTCAGCCAGGGTCCCTGTGGCACAGTGTGGCTTGTTCCTCTATGCTGACACAGTCCATGGTGTCAGGGCAGTGCCAGCATCACTTGTCAACCCCTTGTCTCTGGGGCTGGCACATGGCTGCCTGTCCCAGGGTAGATGCTCTTCTGTTTGTCTGCTAACAGTCCTTTCTGTTTTCGTTCCTCTGCCTTCCCTGGGGGGTTGCCCCATGGTAAGTCACTCATTTTAAAGTGTGTGTCCCTACCCCACAGCGGGTCCTTGCTTCCATGCTGGGCAGGGAAAAGCACAGCTGTACTTCTGAAAGGGAGCTGGTGCTGTATGAGCAGGGGTTGCCTTGCAAAGAGAAAAGGGGTTTAAGGCCATCACCACCTCTGCAGCACCATCTGTGGGGGCAGAAGCTGAAGAAAAAGAGGCAGGAACCTGGGCTGGAGCCTGAGGCCAAGCCAAGGCGGCTGCGGGTGAAGAAGCCGGGCGAGGCGGGGGCTGTCGAGGAGCCACATGCCCCAGCACAGGGTGAGCACAGATCACCACAGCTCCCATAGAAATGGGAGGACATACTGCCCACCCACCCCCCTCCCCCCTAACCTGCCGTGGCCCCATCCTGCACCTGCCGTTCTCTCCATCACGAGCATCTCTTGAAATGTGCAGGGGTGAAGAAGCCGAGGAAGAAAAAGGAGGAGAAGGGAGAGGAGGAGAGCGACAAGGATGCCTATTCCAAATTCACCAGGGAGCCTCGGAAGAAGAAGGAAAATCCAGCACCTCGCTCCCATGTGGCCAAGGGCCCCAAGAAGCAGCAAGGTGTGGTGACAGCACCCACCTCTCTGCAGGCACTCGCTCATGGCTCCTCATGTACCCATGCACCATGTCCCACCAGAGCCATTGATGCTCCCGGTGTCTGCTGGGCCTCTGCACATCCCCGGCAGAGCTTTTTGGCCAAAACCCAGCTACAGACCTGGGAGGAATGGGAATGTGTCAGGCGACCTGCACTCATGGCCTTGGCTGGGGAG